TGCTGTTAATTATCAATTGTTAATAATTATTGCTATTAATTATTAATTGTTCATAATTATCAATTGCTAATAATTATTACTTGTTATTAATTATAAATTGTTATTAATTATCAATTGTTAATAATTAACAATTATTAATAATTATTAATTGTTAATAATTCTTATTTGTTATTAATTATTAATTGTTAATTATTATAACTTGTTATTAATTATAAATTGTTAATAACTATCAATTGTTAATAATTATCAATTGTTCATAATTATCGATTGTTAATAATTATCAATTATTAATAATTATTAATTGTTAATAATTATTACTTGTTATTAATTATCAATTGTTAATAATTATTGCTATTAATTATTAATTGTTCATAATTATTAATTGTTAATAATGATCAATTATTAATAATTATTACTTGTTATTGATTGTTAATAATTATTATTTGTTATTAATTATAAATTATTATTAATTATCAATTGTTAATAATTAACAATTATTAATAATTATTAATTGTTAATAATTATTACTTGTTATTAATTATTAATTGTTAATTATTATTACTTGTTATTAATTATAAATTGTTTTTAATTATCAATTGTTATTAATTATCAATTGTTAATAATTATCAATTGTTCATTATTATCGATTGTTAATAATTATTACTTGTTATTAATTATCAATTGTTAATAATTATTAATTGTTATTAATTATCAATTAATAATAATTATTAAATGTTATTAATTATCAATTGTCATAAATAATTTAACGTTACTTTTTAATAATTGTTATTAATTTTCAATTGTTAATAATTAACCATTCTTATTAATTATTAATAATTATAAATTATTAATAGTTGTTAAGTTATTAATTGTTCTTAATTATTTATTAATTATTGCTATTAGTTAATAATTGTTACTAATTATCCATTGTTATAATTTTTCTTATTAATTATTCATTTTAATAAATTGTTATTAGTCATAAATTGTTAAAATTATTAATAGTTATGAATAAATAATGGTTATTAATTATGAATTGTTAATAATTATCAATTATTATTAATTGTTATGAGTTATTTATTGTTAGTTAATATTTTTATTATTTATTATTCATTGTTATTTATTAATTTTTGCTAATTATTATTAATTGTTTATCAGTTTTTAATTGTTGTTAATTCTTATATACATAACTATTTTTAAAAAATTTAATTAAAATTCTTTCTTGCTGCAATTAAAAAAATTAATTACCTTTTTTTTATTTACTTTAAGTAAAATATTTTTCAAATACATTTTTCTTTGATATAAGTATTTTTTTATATAAAAAAAATATTTCTTTTTTTCATTAAAGAAAGCTTCGTTAAAATGTAAGAAATATTTCCTTAATTGAATATATATTTGATGGTATGTCTCACGCGCTCTTAGCTGCACTATAACATTATATAGGTATACAATATATACTGTGAAAGTGACTGACGTGAAAAACGATTCAAGTTTCTACGTGACACGTTACTAAACGATTTGTTAACAGGATTTATAACAATATCAATATAAAACGATAGCCTCGAAGAATTTATCCTGATTCCTTTACAGTTCATCAAAAACATTTATTTATATCAATTCATCGCATACCATTGGGAAAATCCGTCATTGAATAAAAAAAAAATAAATAAACAATAATAATCTGTCATTCATAAAAATTTTTTTCTAGAAAATAAATCATAATTTATCATTAATATTAATAATTATAACAATAGCAATAATTTTTGAAAATAATAAAAATGATAATAATAATAATATTAATAAATAAAAATTACAGTAATATTTTATTTATTTATTTTTAAATATTAACAGACTAAATTATAAAATCGTAAAGTGATATATTTTTTTAAATTTGAGCAATTTTTAAAAATTTTTTTACAAAAGGAAAATTATTTTACGTGATGATTCATAATTATTTTCGGTAATTTCCTTGTTACAAGTGACTGTTGTTTCAAGGAATTATATATATATTTAAATTAAATTTAATTTTTTTACTGTAATTAGGAAATAATATTAACGGAAAAAATAATTCATATTTTTAACTAAATAAATATTAATTCCCTAGGATATAGAATTTAATGTCATTTTAATGTTTTGATAAATAATATACATTTTTTTTTTTTAATGCAAGAAAGGTGTGCTTCTTTTCGCAAGATGCTATATAAGAATATGTATATACCTTGTTTATGACCGGGTCATATGACGGACTCTTTGATTACATAACAATCTCATTGTATATATATAGTGTTGCAGGTGATGCATAATTATTGGTCTTCTCTGTATTTTTTTTTTTTTTTATTTTAATTATTATTCTTTAATCACTTGCACGTAAAATGACAATATCCACGTTTATTCAGAAAAATGCACTGCGATCGCGAAAGTGGTTTAATTGTTTAAAAAAAATTCCAAACATTTTTTTAATTACTTACAATTAAACTCATTAGAAATTAATTTAATTTACGTTCAGACTTTTTTTCTAAAAGAAAAATATTTATCTATTTATTTATATTCAATTGATAAATAAAAAAAAAATTTAGACACTACACTAGAACCTCAGTTATTGAGACATGTGAACAAGTTCGAAATTGTCTCGAACACTGAAATCCCGGTGTAATTTATTTTAAAAAAAAATATATTTTTTTAATTACACTGGAACCTTGGTTATTGAGACGCATTAAATAGTTCGATGTGTCTTGATAACCAAAGTTCCAGTGTATGAAAATATTTTAAATATATGTATGTATAAATAAATAAAAATATACCTCACTGAAACCTTTGTTATTAAGACGTACAAAATATTTTGGTGTTTTAATAACTAAAGTTCCAGTGTGTTTATTTTTAAAAATTAAAAAAAAAATTGCTATTACACTAGAACCTCAATTATTGAGACATTTAAATTATTTCCCAGGTGTCTCAATAACAAGAGTTCCACTGTATTTATTTTTTCTACTACACTAGAACCTCAATTATTGAGACATTTAAATTATTTCCCAGGTGTCTCAATAACAAGAGTTCTACTGTATTTATTTTTTTTTCTACTACACTAGAATCTCAATTATTGAGACATTTAAATCATTTCCCAGGTGTCTCAATAACCAGAGTTCCACTGTATTTATTTTTTCTACTACACTAGAACCTCAACTATTGAGACATTTAAATCATTTCCCTAGTGTCTCAATAACCAGAGTTCCACTGTATTTATTTTTACATTGATAAAAAAAATTACTACTCATACTACACTGGAACTTTGTTTATTATTTATGAGGACACAAAACAAATTAAAATTAAAACAATTGAATTATTTTAAAATATAAATATTTATAAATTATTATTTAAAGGGCATCATTAAAAAAAAATAATAAATATTGTATTTTGAAAATTGTTGAAGAAAAAAAAATTTATGGAACTAAATTTCATGATAAAGAATGTTTTTGATGTAAAGAAATGTGTGAAAAGGGAAAGCAGGATCTTTTGCCGTTGCATTACAAGAACTATTCGAGAAGGTCGTTTCAGTAAAAAATAAAAAAAAAAAAAAAATGATACGAACTTGATATGAATATCATTTCACCTACAATTGCTTCACTTTTTTTTTTATCATCAGTCATGCACGGCTGATTAAGTCATTTTCAATGAGCTGTAAAAGCGCACTTTATTTTTGTAATTGCAAGCTACTTTTCTACAAATTATTCGCAAAATTTTTTTTTTTTTTATTTCATGATTAATTACTTTTCTCTATTTTATTTTTCTGTATATAAAAAAAAATAACTAAAAATTAGAATCATATTTTAATGTTAGGAAATAAAAATTATAAAAACAAAAAATTTTACCTTCAACTCGGCAATATCTTTATATCCTGAAGAGGTTGAATTTTGTCTTCCAAATGGGGGGGGGGAAACACTCACACAAGAATTTTGAACATTTCCGAAAATTCCATGAATAAATTTATTTTTTAAAATACTTGTTTTTTTATCGAAACGAACGCGGTTTTAAGAATAATTCGATCACTCCCGGGAAAACACGTGCAAAGATTAGAATCAAAGAATTAATGAAATTTTTTTAAAAATATAAATATATCAAAAAAATAATAAAAAAAAAAATTTTTTTAATTTCTAAAGAAAGCAAATTTTTAATTCACAAAAATTCAAATTTCTAAAAGAAACAAATTTTTTAAAAATATAAGAACGATCGCAATTTAAGAAACATTCGAACACATCAAAAAAAAAAAAATAATAATAATAATAATTTTGATAAAATAAATTAAAAGAGAAAAAATTTTTAAGTAAACACATTTGCGGTTTCTTTTTTCTAAAGAAAATAAAATGTCGCGCACACATGAAATTTTGAGTGTCTATACAACTTGAATTCACTCGCGACAAGAATTTTAATAAAAATATTTGTTAACAGGACAATTCACAAAATTAAACTGAATTTATATTTCTTATTGTTTTGCATTTTCACCGATTTATAATCTTCTATTATGAACTCACAAATGAATGTCAACAAAATTGCCTCGAAATGAAAACAAATTTTCCAAAATTGTTTTTATTGCATTTTCCTGGAAAAACCCTATACAAAATCAAACCATTATTATTATTATTATTATTATTATTATTATTATTATTAAATAATAAAATAATTTTTAATAAATAATTTTTCCTACCGAAAATTTAAATGTTCCAAATATTTCTTTAAAAAAAAAATTCTTTTTAATAAAAATTATTTTTCTTATTATATATGTATATAATTATTATTTTTTTATTTGTACTTTTATATATTATATAATAGATAAAGAAATATATATTTTTTTTATATATTATTATTATTATTATTATTATTATTATTATTATTAATGGATTATTATTATTATTATTATTATATATTATTGTTATTATATATTATATTTAGTTATAAAAATTATGCGGAGTGAAAAAAATATAATATTTTGTTTTATTATTTAATTTTAGGTCTTATGATGGAGTCGGAGAAGAAAATATTTGAAATGATGAACAAAAAGGCAGCGATGTCAAAATATTGGATGCCATTAGTTTGGGCAACAAATATCATTAATAGAGCAAGAAAAGAGGCATTAATCACTAGTGATCAAGTGGTACAGACACTTCTCGTTGAACTGAGTGACATTAGAAAAAGGCTTGGAGCACTAATTGGCTATGATACTGTTTGTGTTCCTCTCGTTTACACTCAGGTAAATTATTATCATTATTATGTCAATCATTATAATACATAGTTAATCGCGAAAGGAAAAAAAAAAAATTGACAAATCCAATCCGAACAAAACAAACAAAAAATAATAAAACACATTAAAAAAAATATATTAAAAATATAAAAAAATTACGAATATTTATTCATATATTTTTTTTTTTGTAAATAATGATATTAAAAAATTAAGATATTTTTGCAAGTAACGAAATTATTTTTTTTTTTTTTTTTACTGTAATAAATATGAAACGGGATTTTTTTTTTTTTGGCTCTATTATCAGTTAAAAGAATTTTTTTTTTATCTTTATTAAAGTTAAAAATTAATAATTATTGATGGATTTAAAAAATAAGGCACGCTGTTGACTTTCATAACAATGACAATAAATAATTATCATTACTTGATGCGCAAATAAAATCAATAAATATTCACTGTGCATGCAATATTGATGATCGATGCCTTAAACTCGATTCATTAGGAATATATTTTAATAAAAAAAAAATTTTACACAATTTTCAATCAAATTTTAATTAAATCAATTAATAAATAATTTAATTAATTATTTCCATTATCAACAATTTGATACCAAAAAAAAAAAAAAAAATGTGAAACTTTTTTTTCATTATTATTGTTATTATTAGTATTTTTACTAAAATAATAATAATTTTTAAAAAAATATATAAAATTTTTTATTATTATTTTTATTATTAGGTATTATTTTTGAGTTTTTTTTATTTTTAGTAAGTATTATTTTTATTATTAGTTTTTTATTATTTTTATTATTAGTATTACTGTAATTTTAAAGTCACACGGAAATAAAATTATACTCGTCTAATGCATTACAATTAAAGTCCCACAACAATTACATGTCTGCATATATTGTAAAATAGAATAAAAAAAAAAAAAAAAAAAAAGAAAAAAAAATCGAAAATCTCGAATTTTCCAAGCAAGTGTCATTTTACAAAAACAAGTGTCAGCGAGAAAAGAAATACGGGATCGTTTTCCTACATAACTAGCCACAAAGTACTGATTACTTCAGAGTTACTATTTAATATTTAAGTTCCAATTATTGTCAAATTAATTTTTATTTTTTACGATTTAAGAATAAAAAAATTTTATTTTCTACAAAAAAAAAAAAACATTTTTAATTTAATTTTCTTTTTATTTGACAAATAATAATTTTGTTTGAAAAATATTTTCAAGAAAAATTAATTTCACTAAAAATGTGGGAAAAAATTTTTTTTTTTTATTAATTAAAATAAAACAATTTCCGGAAATTTTTTTTTTAATATTCGAGTAAAATTTTAATTAATTAATATTGTTTATTTCGCGTGTTAATATTAAATTGTATTATTTATTCTCACCATCATCCGGTATTTATACAATTTACTTCATTAATTAAGAAAACCAGTTAAAAGCATAATAATATAAATTGAAATTATTTCTCAAAGACGAAGAAGAAGAAGAAGCTGCAGATGATTATATTGTTAAGTGGTACCTATTTTTGTTACAAGAGAAAAAAAAACTTTATTTCTTAAAGAATATAAAAACAACAGCAGCCTCTTGTGTGTTGATAACAAGCATTTCAAATTGTTAAAGAAACAAAATTTGCATTTTAAAACACGAAATTAAAAAAAAAATATATATATATTTTATTTTTGTATAAATTGTATTTTTTCAAATTTCAACTAACAATATTCCTCTTCTATAATTAAGAAAACAATATTTTTAAATTTATCTTCATTAAATTACAACAATAAAAAAATAATTTATTAAAAAATTTTCTTTGAATTTTTATTTACATTGAAAATTTGTTTTTCAAGTTAATATAATTATTTTCTTTTGTTAAAAAAGAAATTAAAAAAACCCAAAATTTCTCGGAATTTTTTTTTTTTATTACTATTAAAAATATCAATTGAATTTTAAATTAAATTTAACAATTGAATTTAAAATTATTCTAGGAAATAATTTCGTTTAATTTATTTTATTGTCATTTTATAACATGAAATAAATAATTGAAATTTGAAAATTTAAAAAAAAAAAATTGATTTCCAATAAATTTTTTAATCAATTATTTGTAAAATGTGATAGATCGCATTTTATTCTCTCTTTCGCATTTTGCGCAATATTTTTAACATTAAAAACCGGGAAAAACTGTTTTGTATTTACAATTAGACAATGCGATGAGCATTGTGCAACGATAATTATTCATCAGAAAAAAAAAAAAAAAAAAAAAAAACCCCTCCCTAATTGTCAAGTTATGTGCCATTATTTTCACAATACAACACTCAGATCTTCAGTATAATTCCAACACGAAAATGTTCGTGACTTAGAAAACTCTGTCTGCGCTACTCGCACATTTCAATTATTTAACCAATCATTTATTTTTCAAAAAAAAAAAAAACTGATTTTCAAAAACACTTCAAAAATTTTTCAAATACAAAATTGTTAAACAAAAAAATATATTAAATAAAATAATAATAATAATTTAATAAATTAATTTTAATTTAAAAATAATTAAAAAAGAAATAATAAAAAAATTAATTAATTGATCGTGAAAATTTTTTTTGTCAATAAAATCAAAATTAAATAAAATCAAAAATTGAAAGGAGAAAGAGTAAAGGATGATAAAAATTTGAAAGGAAAATAAAATAATTGCAAATTACAACAATTTTTGATAATTAGTAAATTAAAAAAAAAAAAAAAAAAAAAACCATTAAACTGAAATTAATAAGATTAAAAAATTTAGTCCTGTAATTTTTATTAAATAAATTCTTCTATAGGGAACTTTTAATGTTGATTCGCATAAATTAACAATAATAATAATACATACAACGACCTTCGGTTATATTCCATTCGACTTTGCGAAAGTTCAAGTTTCTTTAATGAGATGTCTGATCGGCTTAGAAAAATCGAACGAATCGATCACAAAAGAAATCTTTCACGATCTTTTGAATAAAATTAAAATTTATTTCCTTTATTTAAAGACAAAAGCTTGATTACATGTTTTAATTATTAAACTTTTTTTTTCCAATACTCATTAATTATCATTTGTTTATATAATTTTACATATATTCATTAAACATTTCTATTAAATATATTTAGGAATTTATACGATTTTTTTTCTTTTTGATAATTTTTGCAAAAAATTATATTTAGAAAAGATATTAATTAAAATTTAAAAAATTTTAATCTATTTTGCAATAAAAATTCTTTTTTTTTTAAATTTATTTTAATAAAAAAAAAATAAATTAAATTAAAATATTATAAATATAATAATAATAATAATAATAATAATAATAATAATAATAATAATAATAATTGAAATAATTAAAATAATAATAAATAAATGAAAATAAATTTCATAAATAATGAAATGAAACTCCTTGTCTTGATTAGACAGTAGAACAAGACTATCTGACGTCAGACATTTCATCTGAGGAGAAATGTATAACATCAACGAAATGTTTCCAAGAATAATTATTAAGTAATTTTTAAATTATAATAATAAACAAATTTAATTAATAAATTATTCAGCATTATACCAAAAAGGAAAATTTACAATAAATAAATAAAAAATAGCAAATAATAATAAAATAATAATAAAATAATAAATAATATAAATTAAATAATACAAAAATAAATAATAAAAAATAATACAAATTAAAAAAATAATAAAATAAATATTAAATAATATAAATTAAATAATAAAAAATAAAATATTAAAAAATAATATGAAATTAAATAAAATTTTAATATAAATTCTTTGTTAAATTTAAATGAAATTTAATAAATAAAAATTGAATTTCATTAAATTGAATCAAGAAAAGAAAAATAAAAATTTCTAATACGTCATAAGTTAAAGTCCAGACTAATATTATTATCAATGAGACATAACGTAATAAAGTATTATACAAATTTAAAAAAAAAAAAAAAATGTTCACACTAAAGAAACTATATTAACTGTAATAAAGTTTCAGGAAGGCGTGTGTTGTTTAATTTAACCTTGATAATATAATTATATCAAAACATCGTTCATTGACTTTTAGCAATATAATAATGTGTCTATATATAAGAAAACACGAGATATTAAAATATACAGTGAATCTCAACGCCATAAAGAGAAAGTCAACTTTGAGAAGATAAAATCATATATAAAGTGCGATAAATCCACTTTTATCTTAGCCATTTTAGAACAAAATTACGCATCCAATGGCGATACACTTTTTTTTTCTTTTTTTTTTTTTTTTTTTTTATTAACTGAAAGTGTCAGCCGCTCTGAATCAGCGACGCATGACTAAATAATGAGGAAGAAATAATTACAGATTATTCCATTCCACTGCATGCAATTTTTTTTCTCTCCAATCAGGTGCGCTGTGTGTGTGTTTGTGTGTCTGTGTCTAGACGAGAATAACTTTTAGAAAGTTTTTTTTCCCTCCATTTTTATATAATAATGACAATAATAAATTAAAAATAATTGTAATAATAATAAAAACAACAAAAAATGATAAATAATAAACAGCAAATAACGATTTTTAAATGTACCTCATTAAAATAGATATTAATAATATTTTAATTAATTAAATTATTATTTAATTAATACATTAATTTATCAAAATATTAATTAATTAATTAACTATGTTATTAATTAATTCAGAAATTAACTAATTTATTTATTAATTTATTTATTAGTTTATTTATTAATTTATTAATTAATCACAATATAATTAATTAATCGATTTATGTATTTGATTAATTATTTAGTTAAGACACTAATTTATTCGATTTTTAATTTCTTGAATCTATAATTAAATCAATTATTGATTAATCAAAACATTAATTACCCGAGTATTAATTAATCAAAATAATGTCACCAATATTCAAATTAATTAATCGAAACTATAACTAATATTTCGATTAATTAATCAAAATTTTAATTAATTTTTAAATTAATTAATTGAAATGCTAATTAATTCAATTATTAATTAATCGAGATACTAATTACCCGATTATTAATTAATCAAAAAACTATATAATTAATATTTAAATTAATTAATCAAATCTCTAATTAATATTCGAATTAATTAATGAAAATTTTAATGAATTTTTTGATTAATTAATGAAAATTTTAATTAATTTTTGGATTAATTAATGAAAATTTTAATTAATATTCGGATTAATTAATTAAAACACTAATTTATCCAAGTATTAATCAAAGTTTATAATTTTTTTAAACCTTACTATTTTGTTAACAAAAAAATGATTTTAATATATCGTCAGCGTAAAATGAAACTTTTCGATTAATTTAAAAAACGCAAACTCGGCAAAATGACTCATTGATTATTGCGTTAACATATTTAAATAAATTTGTTTGAAATTTTTTTTTCAAAGAAATGTTAAATAAAAGCGAAATTTTTTTTTTTTGCAAATTTCAACATAGTTATTATGTATTTTGAAGAGTTTGTAATTTTTTAGATGAAAAACAAATTTTTTGTTATGTAATATTTTATTCATTATTTTATGAATAACTTAATTATTTTATTAAAATTTTAATTTATTCGTTCATTATTAAATTTAATTAATTTTTTTATTAAAAATAATAATTTATATTTTTATTAATAGGTCGTGACTCTTTCCCTGTACGCATATTTTTTCTCTGCACTACTGGGACGACAATTTACACGTGAAGAGGACGCAAGGAATGGAAAATATGAAGTGCCCGATATGTATTTTCCATTTTTCACTGCCTTACAGGTGAGAAAAAAATTTTTTTTTACAGTAAATAGCAAAAAAAAAATTTTTTTTTACTTATTTTTATTTATTTAAATTTTATTCAAACTTTTCAAAAAAAGAATTTTCAAATTTTTGCAACAAATTTAATTTTGAAAAATTTTTAATTTTAATATTATTCAAAAATGAGGTAATTTTTTAAAATTAAATTTTTTCAGTTTTGCTTTTACGTTGGATGGCTTAAAGTAGCAGAAGTATTAATCAATCCTTTCGGAGAAGATGACGACGACATAGAACTTAATTGGCTAATCGATCGTCACATCAAGGTAAGAGAGAAATGGAATTTTATTTTTTCATTAAAAAAAGAAAAATTTAACTCCACTTTCTATTATTTCAAATAAATTAATTGAATCTTTCTTTTATTACATTGTAATTTAAATAAACTTTCTTATGTGACTTTAATTAAATTTAATTACATTATATTTCAATTGAATTGAATTCAAAATTTTTTTTTTTTTTATTTACCTTTAATTAATTTTTTTTTTATTTATTTTAATTAGGTATTTCCTTGTGTTGACTTTAATTAACAATTTATTTAAATATTATTCAAATATTTCTTCTCTAAATATTTTATTTATAAAAAAAATATTTTTTATTTTATTTTTTTTATTTATTTATTAATTAATTTCAATTGAATAAAATATTTATTATCAATATATTATAATGTAGAATATTTTTGATAAAAAAATTAACACAATATTAAATAATAATTTAATAACAATTGAATAAATAAAAAATTAAGATAAAATAAAATTCAATAAAAATGCATAAAATGAGAAAAAATTCTTTTTAAAAAAAAAATTTGTTTTGTTGAAAATTATATAGGCTGGTTACATGATAGTTGATGAGATGCACGAGGAGCATCCAGAACTTTTAAAAGATCAATATTGGGATGAGGTGATACCAAAAGATTTGCCATATACTGTTGCCAGTGAGCAATATAGAAAAGAAGAGCCAAAAGGATCTGCCGAGCTTTACAAAGTCAAAGAAAGTGATGCTCTTTATGCGAATGTAATGCTCGGTACTCAATTACATTCTGTAAATCAACATCGTAAGATGCATCAAGATGACATGTACGCGGATTACGTAAGTTCAGCAAAATCACATTTTGAAAAAAAAGAAAAAAAAAATAATAATAATAATAATAAAAACTCGAATATAACGTCATTTTTATACCTTCCTTTTTTTTAACTCACACACATACAATTCCAAGAAAAATATTTCAAACATCAAAACAATTTACACGACAATCAATAATTATTAAAAGCTCCAATCCAGTATTTCTCATTATCAAGATATTAATATTCAAGTTGGGAAAAAAAATTTTTCTTTCATTAAAAAATTATTTTTTTTTTTTAAATAATAATAAAATAGGTAATATAAAAATATTAAATAAATAATAAATAAATAATTAAATTTTTTATTTAAAAAATAATTTTTTTATTTCTTCCCTCGTTGGTATAATTGACAGAAATTTTTCAATAATCCAAAAAAATATTGAATCTGAAACAAAAAAAAAAATTTTCTGGTTTTTAAATATGAAATAATTTATTTCCATTTGTATTGAAATAATAACTCACCTTAAAGTGAAGGATGACGAATATTATCAGATTATTAGAAAAAATAATTTTTATTATTAAATAAATTTTTTTATTTTTTAAATAAATAAATATAATTTTTTTTATTTTTTAAGTAAATAAATAATTATTTTTATTTTTTAAATAAATAAATAAATTTTTTTATTTTTCAAGTAAATAAATACCTAATTATTTTTTTTTATTTTTTAAATAAATATATAATTTTTTTATTTTTTAAATAAATAAATAATTATTTTTTTATTTTTTAAATAAATAAATAATTATTTTTTTTAATTTTAGGAAAGTGTCGATACGCCATTAGTTGAACGGAGAAAAAATTGGCTACAACGTCAAATAACAAGAATGGGATCTGTTCGAAGTTCAACAACAACATACAGCAGTGGCGGTGGATTTTTTTCACGTAATCGTCACAATAGTGTTTACAGTAGTCCCGAAACTGGTGGACTACCAGCGACAAATAATCCCAAAATGTCCCTATACGATCGTCTCGTGGGACGAAGAAGCATTCGTAGTCAACGCATGGGTCGTCAAGGTAAAATATTTATTTTCTTTTATAAAAAAAAAAAAAAAAAAAAAAATTTACCAAATGAGTCGCGAAAAGTTTTCTAAAACTGTATGGTAAATTTTACTATAATAAAATATACTATAACAATATGATAAAATTTTCTAAAACAGTATGGTAAAATTCACTAAAACAGTATGGTAAAATTTACTAAAACAGTATGGTAAATTTTACTATAATAAAATATACTATAACAGTATGGTAAAATCTTCTAAAACAGTATGGTAAATTTTACTACAATAAAATTTACTAAAATAGAATGGTAAATTTTACTATAATAAAATATACTATAACAGTATGGTAAAATTTTCTAAAACAGTATGGTAAAATTTACTAAAACAGTATGGTGAATTTTACTACAATAAAATTTCCTAAAACTGTATGGTAAATTTTACTATAATAAAATATACTGTAACAGTGTGGTAAAATTTTCTAAAACAGTATGGTAAAATTTACTAATACAGTATGGTAAATTTTACTAAAACAGTATGGTAAATTTTACTACAATAAAATTTACTAAAACAGTATGGTAAATTTTACTGCAATAAAATTTACTAAAACAGTATGGTAAATTTTACTACAATATAAAAAAAAATTTTATTTTTACAGGAACCCTGACGAAATTGCAATCAGTGCCAGTGTCATTAAAAAATCGACCACGCATACCAACGCCCGATGTGACAAAAGAAGTTGTTGATCGTGAACAACGATTGGCAATATCGGCGAATAATGCAGCAAATATTGGCGCCGGTGTTGTTGGTGTGATACCGGCAAATTATCCAACTGATGTATCACTAGTGGTATTGTCACCAATTCATGAGAATGAGGGTACACCATCATCGGTAAAAGGTGGTACCGCTGCACTTGCACAAGCAGTTTTAACACCAAGTTTAACAAGTGCCGGCCTAGTGACACCGGGAACATTTATACCCGTCACAATGAGTCAATTAACACAACTTGGCCTCGTCACAACAACATCAATGTCCCGTCCACAAATTCAAGGCGTTGAACATCATGAGAAACGTCAGGCCACACTCACTGAGGTGAGTTTTGTGAAAATATATATATATTTTTCTTTTAATTTTTAGAATTCAAAAAATAAAGAAATAAAAAAAGATAAATCAATTTAATAAATTAATAAAACAATAAATATAAAAAAAACAAATAAATAAATTAAGAAAACAATGAATAAATAAAAAAAGAAATAAAAAAAATAAAGAAAAAGCTAAAGAACTACATAAAAAAACAGATATAAAAAGAAATAAATAAATGAATAAAACAATAAGTACATGAAAGTTATTGTGGCTGTGAGGTCAGAGTACACGGCTTGCGTCACAAGGGTTATGGGTTCGATCCCACATGCATGACGGATTTTTCAAAAAAATAAATAAAAAACAAATAAATTAATTAATAAAACAATAAATATAAAAAACAAATTAATTAATTAATAAAACAATGAATAAAGAAAAAAAACTAAATAAATAAAAAATATATATATAAAAAAAATAAATGAATAAAACAATAAATACATGAAAGTCAGCGTGGCTGTGTGGTCAGAATACACGTCTTGCGTACCATGGGTCATGGGTTCAATCCCCCATGCATGCGGGATTTTTCAAATAGGTAAATGAATAATTAAATAAAAATAAATAAATAAACAAATAAATAAAAAATCAAATAAATAAATTAATAAAACAATAAAGAAATAAAAATAAATTAATAAATAAAAAACAAATAAATAAATGAATAAAACAATAAATAAATAAAAAAACAAATTAATTAATTAATAAAACAATGAATAAATAAAGAAATAAAAAGAATAAAGAAAAAAAACTAAAGAAATAAATAAAAAAAAAATATAAAAAAATAAATAAATGAATAAAACAATAATTAAATGAAAGTCAGCGTGGCTGTGAGGTCAGAATACACGGCTCGCGTCACTAGGGTTATGGGTTCGATCCCACATGCATGAGGGATTTTTTCAAAAAAATAAACGAATAAATAAATTAATCAAACAGTAAGTAAAATAAATAAACATATAAATAAATAAAAAAAACATTAATAAAGAAATAAAAAAAGGAAATAAATGAAAAAAAAAATTTTTAAATAAATTTAAAAAAATACGTTTCATTCGAAATTTTAGGTAAACACCAGCGAGGAGGAAGGCAGCGGAAGTGGAAGTAGCAGCAACGGAAGTATAACAGGACAAGAGGATCGTTCAACGCCTCTAATTGAGAGAGTGAGTCCAATTGAAAGTCACGGAAGTTCACCAACATTTGGCACCTATACAGAACGTTCGCCAATTTTAATAAATCCCGAGAAACTCGGACAATTTATAATGCCAACAAATGAAACAAAAACAATAGCCGAACAACGACTGCAACAAGATTCATCTCGTGGTAGACGATCAACATCATTGCCTGGTCCACCAGTAACGATAACGAATGAAGATCGAAGTATGTCATTGCCACATTCACCGGGTCTACAACCACGTGAAAATCGTGCAGCATCCGTTACAAGTAGAAGTGAAAATCCAAATCTCGAAAGGCTCACGCCATTAAAGCGAAAGCCTGAGAATTTTTTGCTACAAGAACCGGCGCGTAAAACAAGCTCAACGAGTGTTAATAATGCATTAACAACAACAACATCAACAGTTGCACCTGGTCCATTGTCACCTGTGCCAAGTGCAACTGGAAGTAAACGAAACGAAGTCTATGTGTGATGCTGAGTTTTAGGCACTCAGAAAAAAATTGTTTTTTTTGTTTTAATACAAATTTTTTGGTTGGTTCAAATAAAATTTGGTGGATTCGAACAAAATTTTTTTTATTCGAACGAAATCTGTTTTATTCGAACGAAATTTGTATTATTCGAACAAAATTTGTTTTATTCGAACAAAATCTGTTTTATTCGAACCAAAAAATTTGATTGTTTCACACAAATTTTTTTCTGAGTGTGACGATCTTTTTATTTTTGATCGTTTATTGTACGGTGCCTTTATAGTTAATATAAGAAAGAAGAAAGAAAAACAATCCGTCCATTTAAATTTGAATTAAAATTCGAATAATAAAATAATTTTCGAATAATAAATAAACGTTATAGAATCCATTCAAATGGATATACAACTTAATTATAATAACTTAATTAATTTATATATGAAAAAAAAAATTCCTATAGGAAATGATAAATTTGATATTGCGAATTCTAATTATTATTTTTTTACATTAAAAAAAAAAATGTATTGTCGAATGTTTTGTAAGACTGATATCCTTGGGATAAGTCAACAGTTTATTGGCATTTTTCAGCGAATCATATAAATACCTACTTGTCTCATAATTACTGCGCAAATGACTTTCAAACAAACCAAATGAAAATCAGAAAAGAATTCAGTAATTAATTTTTTTTTCCAATTTTCATTTGGTTTTACGTCTATAAAAACGTATAAAAAAAGGGTGAATGACATTTATTATTATTTTTATTATAATTATTATTTTGTGATATGAATTTTCATATGAATAACCACAGTATAGTGGTTTTTAGCTAGGCAAAAAAGAAAAAATCGTCACAATTTAAAGTTGCGACAATTTCTCGAAACTAAAATATTTTTTTTAACGGTACATTAGTTATAAAAAAAAAAAATAAATAAATTTTGTACATAAAAAAATTATCTTTGCAAATTTTTACTGTCATAAATTTATATCGTGACAGAAAAATAATGACTTTATATAATTTTTTTTTTTTAATATTTGATAATATAATTATTTTAATATTTTTCAATTTTGCACACTGAAATAATTGAAAAAGAAAAAACAAATTTGTAACAGTGTGGTGAATATCAAAATTTTTTCCTCAGCCATATTTGCCATAATACATGAAAAACATTACATATTATTTTTAATATTCTAGAAAATTAATATTTGTAACAAATTTTTAATTTAAGTTACAATTTAAAAAAAAAAACTTTTTTGTTGAAAATAATAATAATAATTATTCTTATTATTATTTATCGCATCTCATTTTAAATTGAAGAAAGTGAAAGAAAAAAATATTTTCCCTTTCTTCAAAAAAAAAAAAAAAAAAAATGAGATTTTTAAATTATTTGTTTTCATTGTAAATAATTATCGTTTATTAAAAAGTAAGAAATTTATTTTTTTTTCTAATTCTTATATTATTAGAAAGAAAATAAATTTCAGACATTTATTTAATGATTTTTGCTCAAGCAATCATCAGGAACGATGACGGTGATCGTGATGCAATATATATATATATATAAATATATTGATTAGTTAATAATGTATCATTATTATTTTAATTTTTATTATTATATTTATAAAATATATATTATCCACGAATTTCGTGATTATTGTTAATTATAATAAATAATATTAACAAAAGCAACGAAATGAAAGAAAAAAAAATATCCTCACAATCATTTGAGAGGTTTCAAAATGGAAAAAAATGTTATAACAATATATACAAATATATATATAAAAAAAAGTTTAATTAATTAAATAAAATATAAAATTTTTCCCTGAGGTGATAAAAATATCAAATCCCTCAAAATAAATAATTCAAAGCGAATCAAAGCGAATCTGTGAAGTGAATATAATTATAAAAATATCCTTATAATAAAGTTAATAATTAAAAAAAAAAAATGAAATTTTCTTTTTCATCATTTCGAGAAAATTTTTTCTAATTTCGATAATGAGTAAAAGGATTTTTTTTTCTTTTTTTGGTAATTCACTTACTTCCGGATTCAAGTTGATAATTTTTCTATTCAAATAAAAAGGATAATTTCTATAGATCTGTTGGAGGATTGACATACTCATAATTTAGAATATAGAAATAAATTTTTATATATGTAAATAAAAAAAAAATATTGTCGAAAAATTTTTTTTAATTAAAAGTTCTTAAAAAAAAATTTATAGAACTTTTAATCCAAGGGACACATATCCACTAAAGAACTCTATAAAGAGTTTCTTTTTAAAAATGTAGATATTTATAATTTTTACAGTATTTGTACATAATCTTCATATTATATATATATATTTTTTAGAATTATAACTGATTTTAATAGTTAAGCGCATTATTATAATTAATATAATATTATTAAAAATTGTTATACATAAATATGAATTATAAATATGCAATAATTTGTAAGTAGAAATAATAATCCAGTGGTTGATTTTTTTCAAGTACCAATTTTGGGTGCTTAAATATATGTGTGCTTTCGAAAGAAAGAAAATTTTTTTTATATTATAGAATTTAAATAATAGAAGTGATTTTATCTTATAGCTCTTTATCTATTGAATAAAAAAAAAAAAAATTTTGAAAATTACAAAAATTTTTTCTTTCAATTTTAACCTTTTTGTAAGTGTAAAAAAAATGCCTTTTTTTTCTTTTAAAACTTTCATTTTTAAGTCTTATATATTTTTATTATAAAAAACCTTGTGAAATAACATACAATTAACATAGGAATGACATTAGTTTAAATTTTTTTTTTTCTGTACAGTGGATCAGTGATTTTTCATTTTCGAGTATAACAGCTTGCCAATTATTGAACTGAAATAAAAAATTTCTTTAGTGAAATTTTGCGAAAAAAAAAAGAATTTAAATTTGTTTTTTAAACAATTATATTAATAAATAGTGTAAATTATTACTAAATTAAATTTATTATTAAAATATTTATTTAATGTAATATAAATTTAATATTTATATTATTTTTAATATTTATTATATTTATAAATTTAGTAATAAATTTAATTTAATAATAAACACTAATTAATGATTAAAAATAAATTTTAGTATTTTATTCACTAATTTTAAAAATAAAAAAAAAAATTGTATTTTTTTTCATACCTAGACATAAATGCCAACCCATAAAAGAAGGAATAAAACTCCAAAACCAGAAAATATTGCAGCAACCAAAGCAACTAATAATTCTTTAAAAATATCTCTTGTAAATTTTGTACTCGTCACTTCGTACACAAAGAACCAGGCTGTGAAGAAAATTCCAATTCCTAATAAAACCAAAGCGAGAAGTGGAAATATTGATGGATTTATTGGTGAGACGTATCTCGTCATCGATTCAATAGCAACCTGAAAAAAAAACAAAGTTAGTAATGGAAAAAAAAATATTAAAAAATAAATACATTAAATTATTCCTTATCAAATAAATATAATTAATTTCAATTTTCAAATATATTGAAATTTGTTTCTAATAATTTTAAATTATTTTCATAATAATAATTTATGTAAAATTAAACAAAATAAATTAAAAATTAAAAAAATATATTTAAAATTTTAAATATTTAAATAAATTTCCCCCTAAAAATATTAATTGAAAATAAATTTTTAATAAAAATTCAATAATCGTAAAAAATACTTTTTGTGGAGGTTAAAATTTTATTTACAAAAATTTTAACTTCTTTTTCAAAATAGTATACAAATTATTATTATTATTATTATTATTATTTACAAAAAAAAGGAGTAATTTAATGCTTAGTAAATTAAATTATATATAAATAATACATACCATTTTATTAAAAATTTATAATGACGTGGCTGCAAAATAGTCTAACCTCAAAATTAAACGCCCCCGGTACTTTTAGAAGTTTTGTTTAACAAAAAAAACGATTTTGTTAAACTTATGTCAACAAAAAAATCAGATCAAAGGGGGCAGAAATTAGACAATTTAATTGTCAATATTGTTTAAAAATTAATTTCTTCTTAATTTAAGAAGAAAATGATTAAAAATCAGTCGACGTGGTTGACAGCAGCCACAAACACAAACAAAACCAAACACATCGGAGCCCCCCCACACACAATCGCACACGTATAACTCAGGAGCGGAAATTTTGGGTACTTTGAGGGAGGCGATAAAAAAAAATACTAAAAATATAATATCCAAAATAATTAAAATTAAAAATTTTTTCAAGTAAAAAATATTTATTATTTATTATTTTTAGTAGTATTTGGTATTTTTTATTTAATTAATAATTAAAATTAAAAATTTTATTTATCCAAATAGTCGAAAATATTTATTTCTCAATTATTCAAGTCAATTAAATTATATTTAAATATTTTTAATAATTTATCATTTTATTAAAGAATTTTATAACAATTTGTTTAAATATTGAAAAAAAATATTTTTTTCTTCACATTCGAATCGAAAATTTATTCACTTATAAATTTTTTCCAATGAGCAAAAAAACAAAACCCATGGAAAAAAAATTAGGGAAAATGAACAATGGATTAAATATATAGACGGAATTTTATTTATTAAATAAAATCACAATGCCCGCGCAAGTCGTTTTTGCATATCACGTGTTTGTGTGTATGTGTGCCCTTCGCATATTATCATTATTATTATTATTATAATTATTATTGGTGGCGTTGTTTGGAGAAGTTTGAAAAAATGGAAAATCAACTTTTCATTTTTTTTTTTCATGTTAGGCTAAAGGTATATACAAATAACCGTATACATTTTCCAAAAAGGAATTGAGTATAAAATGTGTATAATTCTTATGATGTATTTTTTTTTTTAATGACGTTTATCTAAATGACGGTTTTTTTATATATGTCCCGCGTAGTCACGAATAGGCTGGAAAAACATTTTTTTTTCAGCGTACTTTCTATGAATGCTACTTTTATAGTTTTACTCAAATTATTATTTTTTTTTTCTCATTTATATATCTTACATTCTAAAGTAGCGTATACAAAGATCAGGGGGAAGTCATTGAAAAAGAAAAATATAATCGATTTAAAAAAATAATAAAAAAAAAAAAAAAATACGCGAAAGAAAAGGGCGCGAGTTGTTACAACTTTTTTTTCAAACAATTTTTTAACATTCTTTGCAAGAACGACTTTTTACGATTTTTTTTTAATACCTACGATATTGCACCAATAAATAAAATATGAAAACGATCATATAGGAACACGAATCAATTACCTATTAGAGAGAAAACTTTTTTAAGTTAACTCAAGTCGTTCTTGCATCCGTGATCATTTTCAACAATACTCAAAATATAAATTCTTAACTAACAAAAAAAAAAACTCAACAATTTCTGCTGATTTATATTTAGCGACGTTGAAAAAAAAATTCCAAACGAAATTTCAAGCGTCGTAACAATTTTTGTTTCCTCACAAAAGGTCACCGTAAAGGGGTTGTTTATTATTTTCAGTAATCGTTTCCTTTTTTTTTTTAATATAGATTTTTTTTCATATATATTATATTATTATACACGTCGCGTTCGGAGTTTAATGTGCGGGATTTTTTTTTTGTTTACGTATTTTATATACCTCACGATAGGCCTTGCGGTGTGAAACAAATCTTTTCTAATTCGCCCGTTGACGAACTAACTGGCGATTCAACACGTTCCTCTTGTTCAGCCAATTGTTCACTATAATAATGTGGTGTATTTAAATAATCAATAAGACGCCGTGGCAGAGGTAACGTTGAAATGAGATCTTTTCGAACCAATTTTAAAATGACAAATCTACATGTATGCTGTAAGCTCTGTACTTGTTTAAATCTTGATACTGGATGTAGTAATTGTACTCGCATTGGACCTAAAACTGGCCGACGATGTAAAAAAAATAAATAACGTCCACTCCTTGAATGTTCCACAGCATTTTCAATGAAATCAACAATTGTGTGCGATTTGAATTTTGTGCAACTTCCAAAACTAAAATTACCTGCGAATTAAAAAAAAGAAATATTATTATTAGCATATTGAATTTTATTTTAATAAACAATAATAATAATGAATCGCCATACCCTGATCATGTTCTATCCTCACGTGTCTTACACAACTGTTCAGTCTAAATGACAGGGAGAAAATGTAATGATCATCACTGCTATCTCTTACAATGAATGATCCATCCGGCTCGTTAGATAATATTTTTTCCGCAGCCTCACCACTAATAGGACCCCAGTACCATCCGTACTGTTTAAAAATAAAAAAATTCCAAATTTTTTAGAAATAAAAATTTAATATCTTTCGAAAAAGAAATCAAATTAAATCAATATTTATTTATTTTAAATAGATAAAAAATAAATAAACTTTCAGAAATAAACAAATATAGTCGCGGAATTCGTGATCTAGTTACGCGGAATTTGTGATTTAATTTCGTGAAATCCGTGATCTACTTACGCGGAATTTCTAATCTAGCTACACGGCATTCATGATATAAGTTCATGGAATTCGTATTCTAATTTCGCGTATTTCATGATATAGTTACACAGAATTTTTGGTTTAATTTCATAGAATCCGTGATCTAATTTCGCATAATTCCTAATCTAGTTACGCGGAATTTGTAATCTCATTTCATGGAATCCGTGATCTAATTTCGCATAATTCCTAATCTAGTTACGCGGAATTTGTAATCTAATTTCATGGAATCCGTGATTTAATTTCGCGTAATTCGTGATCTAGCTACGCGGAATTAGTGGTTTAATTTCATGCAATCCATGATATAATATTAGCTACGCGGAATTTGTTGTTTAATTTAATATAATCCGTGATATAATTTTGCATAATTTCTGATTTAGTTACGCGGAATTTGTAATCTTATTTCATGGAATCCGTGATCTAATTTCGCGTAATTCGTGATCTAGCTACGCGGAATTAGTGGTTTAAGTTCATGCAATCCATGATATAATATCGCGTAATTCGTGATCTAGCTACGCGGAATTTGTTGTTTAATTTAATATAATCCATGATATAATTTCGTGTAATTCGTGACCTAGTTACGCGGAATAATTGGTTTAAGTTCATTTAATCCGTGATATAAAATCTCGTAATTCGTGATCTAGTTACGTTGAATTTGTGTTCTAATTTCGTGGAATCCGTGATCTACCTACACGGAATTTTTAGTATAAACTCATGGAATCCATGATATAATTTCGCGTAATTCCTGATCTAGTTACGCGGAATCTGTAACATAATTTCGCCAAATTAGTGACATAATTACTCTGAATTCGTGATATAAATTTGCAGAATCCGTGATTTACTTTCCAGGAATTCGTTATCTAATTTTATGGATCCCGTGATCTAATTTCACATAATTCATGATCTAGTTACGCGGAATTTGTGGTCAAATTTCGTTGAATCCGTGATCTAAATTTTGCGTAATTTCTAATCTAGCTACACTAAATTCGTGATATAAGTTCATGGAATTCGTATTCTAATTTCGCCTATTTCGTGATATAGTTGCACGGAATTTTTGGTTTAATTTCATGGAATCCGTGATCTAATTTCGCGTAATTCGTGATCTATTTATGCGGAATCTGTGATTTAATTTCGTTGAATTCTTGTTCTGGTTTCGCGAAAACTGTGATGTAATTTCGCACAATTTGTGAATTAGTTCCGCAAAATCCGTGATGTAATTTCGCGGAATTTCGCAGAATCCGTGATTTACTTTCCAGGAATTCGTTATCTAATTTTATGGATCCTGTGATCTAATTTCACATAATTCATGATCTAGTTACGCGGAATTTGTGGTCTAATTTCGTTGAATCCGTGATCTAATTTTGCGTAATTACTAATCTAGCTACACTAAATTCGTGATATAAGTTCATGGAATTCGTATTCTAATTTCACATATTTCGTGATATAATTACACGGAATTTGATCTAATTTCGCGTAATTCGTGATCTATTTACGCGGAATTTCGCAGAATCCGTGATCTAATTACTCAGAATTCGTGTTCTAGTTTAGAATTTTGTGAGAAATTGAACAGCAGTTTTTTTGAAGAAAAAAAAATTCAACAAACCTAAGAATAAAACAAAAAACACTCAATAAATCATAGATCCATGATTTTTTTTCTTTACTCACATCTTTAACTTTCTCTATACTCGCAGCAAAATCCATGCTAGTATCCTCGGCAGGTTCCTCATCGTCTCGCGACGATTGTATTATAGGCAGAATTGAAGAGGGTGATTCACATTTTGCCAATAAAATTGGTGGTGGTGGCGGTGGTGCCAATGGTGTTTCTTTAGTATTATGTGATTCCGATTCGATGTGACCATTTGTCTTTGGTAATGGGGGTAAAGCGCGTTTGAAAAAAGGCAATTTCTGAGCGGACGGGTCAACATCGTTATTGCTACTTGTATTAGTTGTATTTGTCGTCGTGTTAGTGGTGGTGGTGGTGGTATTATTATTATTAGCATGTTGATCAAAATCTTCATCCTCCTCAACAATATCACCTTGAACAATGCTATTTCTTTTATTCACATAATGTTCAGGTGAACCAAGTCGTCTAAACCTAAAAATATTACACAATGTCTGTTTAAGATTTAATGAAAAATTACGTTGACTTTTCTTTATTTTATCACGTTCAATTTCTGTTTTTTCTTTATTATGATGTTGTTCGTCTTTTGACTTTTTATGCCTTATATTGACAAGTGTACTTTTCTTATGCTTTTTAATGTTCCCATTATTATTATTATTATTGTGCAACATCATCAGTCCATTGCTACTGCATTTATTTGAAATTGGCGTATCTGTCGATGAATCTGTATGTGGATTACTATATCTATTGTTATTATTAATATTAAGAACTTTGGGCATAGCAAGATGTAACGATGATTGACCAGTGGTTATTTTATCGCGTTTTATTTTATTTTCACTAGAATCACTAGAACTTGAATATAATGTTTGTAAATATTGTCGCACCTCATGTAATGTCATATGTATTGGTTCGCCAATATTACGCGTGTGACTATTGTTCGAGGAACGTGAACTATGTCGGCCCGATGTACCCGGGACACTGTGACGTTTTCCATTTCCTGTTTCGTTGCAACATACCTAGAAAAAGACGAAAATATTTAGTGGATTTATTGCCAAGTGGTTTTGCCAAAAAAAAATAAAATTAGCCTCAAAACTCACACACTTGGTAGACTGTAAAAAAGAGTTCTCACAGACTGAGTGTGAGTTTAACGTACAAAAATGAAACAAACCTCAGCGAGTAGCCTCTGAGACTTAATAACGTGGGTAATTGCCCTTGGCTTGCCACAATAATGTCTCGCCTGTTGTATATGTGCTTCCAATTCACTTTGTGAGCTTGCCGAAACATTTCTTCGTCTTTTACGATGATGCTTGTGACGTTTAGGTCGTTGTGGTGTTCTTAATTCATGTAATGGTCGTACAACATCAATTGGCACTGTATAAATGTCCGAATCAAAGGGCACATTGTACATATCGCTAATTTCACTTGTTGTCAATACATCGTGTGACATTGCCGATGTTATGAAACTACTGTCATCTGCTTTATGTCCTAAACCCGATGTATTTATTGAATTATGCGAACTACTTAAACGTGACGATGCCAATGAACTACGTGAATTTGGCCGATGTAGTGTACTAAATGGTGTTATTGTAATTGTTGCTCCACTTTGACATGATGTTGATGATGTAAAATAATCCGTTGTCCATGCACGTCGTGAATTTCGCATATTACTGTTTGTACAAACTGCTGAAATTCTACCCTCAGGCCATGAAATACGACACGATATTGCCAATGCCTCCTCAACAATTAATCGCACTAAATTCTCGGCAAATTCCTCAAGCCAATGATCAGTTGTCAAATGATTGTAACAGAGAATTGGACCAAGTGACGATGAATCGGGCGGCGATGGACTATCTTGAAATTCAGGTGGTGGCTTTATTGCCACATCGACAACTTCAACTTCAACTTCTAATTTACCATCCAAATCATTCCAACCTGGACCTTTTTTTAATGTATTAAAATTTTCACCACACATCCCATCGGAATAGTCAAATGAATCCTGGGATAGGGATTTACTTTCCATGTCGCTTTCTTGCATCTATTAATTATTGCAAAAAAAAAATGTTTATATTTATTTTTTCTTTCTTTTTTGTGCTATTTATTTTTTGGAAACGAGAAAATTTGAAATTTATACCTCGATTGCTAAATGCGCTCGTACGGAATCACTTGATATTGAACCTCCAAGTCCACTGCTTCCAATGTCGCTGAGAGGTCCAGTCATGCTTAGAGAACACGAAGGCGGTGAGTCCATATTGGATTAATTTCAAGCTAATGCAAGTTGAACACTTACAAAAGCCAAAAATCTTCTTCTAAATGTTCCAGATCATTGCCTATTAAAAAAAAAACAAAAATAAGATTCGATTTTTAAAAAATTTTTTTGTTTTTATTAAACCAGTACTGCAATAAATCAACTGAATTAGTAAAAAATAACTTAAAAAAAAATTAATAACTAAATTTTAGTGAAAGAAAATAACTAAAAATAGTCCAATTTTTACTAATTGAATTAGTTGACATAAATTTTAGTATATTTTAACTCTTTACATCTGAATCAGTAAACTTTTAACAGTTATTTAAAAAAAAACATAAATAAAAAAAAATCGGATTTTTCTTTTTTTTATCAGCTGTGTTATTAAACAAAACTTACTTGGAAACGCCAAATATGAGTAACGAATGGATGACGTTTTGTCTTCATTACTCCCTTTGCCAATTCGAAGTATTTCATCTTGATCAGAAAAGTACGTGATGATCAAAACTCGTCTCGATTATTTCTCTGTGCAAAAAAAAAATTCCAATTAATAATATAATTTTGCAAAAAAAACTACTTTTTCCATTTTATTTTTTTAATTACTATTTTTTTTTTTTAATTAAATAAAAATTTTATCTATTTATTGTTAAATGAAAAAATTCTTTTCCAGTAAAATTTATCTTTATGGTAAAAATTGTTTTAATTTACTCTTTTTAAATTCTTCGCAAATAAAAATTTATCTTTATTGAAAAAAATGAAGTGAAACAATTTTTTAAATATTTTTTTTAAGTGAAAATTTTTTTTCAAATAATTATTTTTAATAAATTTTGGTATTTTGGAAAAGAAAAGTAATTTCTTCGGGAGTGGGATAAAAAAAAATGAATAAAGATTTTAGGATTTAAAATCAAATGTATGAATCAATAATCAGACGTTATTATTATATTGAGACATGAGTAATTGAAGAAATATTTATTATCATTCATTAAAATTTAATCTTGACATATAATTCCTAGATGAGCCAATATTGATGAGATAAATTTGCCGCACAATATATTCAAATGACTTGTATATATTAATGTTTCGTTAATAAATTTCGAATCAAATATAATATTATGACATGAAAAAAAAATCGATTTAATTAAATTACTTGTCTATTTCCAAAAAAACAAAAATATTTAATTCGGAAAAAAGGTATCATTTTATTAAATCAATTATAAAAATTATTTCGATCAAATAAAATTTTTCGTATCAATATACAAAGGGGTTCAAAAAGTTTTCTTTTTATATGAGAGATTCTTTTTCAATCGCCCCAGCCCAAAAAGTCGATGTTCTTGGATTGGCTTTATACTTTGGTAAATTGTTGTCCTATATCACAGTAATAAATCCCCAAAATATAAACTCATTAAAAAAATATTTGTAGAAAGTAGAGGGGGTTGAAGTTTTGACGTTAAGGGTAACATTGTCATTTTCAAATCCGTATAACTATGACAAAAGTTAATGAATTTTAATTTATATATAATGAATTTTAATGCATTTTTCACGTACTTTTCAAAAATGTATACGAAAATTAAAAAAAAAAATTTTTAACCCCTTTTTTTTCAAAATCAACCCTTATTTTTCGATTTTCACCCCTTCGGGTATTTTTTTTTTTTTTTTTTTTATTTTTATTGGAAAGCTGAGGTTTTTTCCTATGAGCTATGTAAATATGAAAATGGGACAACAATAATTTTGTGAGAAACAGAATATTAAAGTAGGCGGTGCACCCGCGCTATCGACGCAAAGATGAGTACCCATCGTTGTACGCACTTATATTATTCCTGTTTACTTCAGTAACAGCTCTCTGCATTCTACAGGGTTGAGACTGTCCATAAAATAATGCCTGCATTACTATTACTGAAAGAAATTTAAATTTTGAAAAATGATAAATTAAAAATTAATAAAAAGAGAACATGTTTTTAATAGGTATGAAATTATTAATTTAAATGAACTATTGGATATAATCTGGTTTAAATATTATTTTGGGATTAATTTAGAAAAAATTATTTTTAATCTAATAAAAGGATGTTTATTATTTGAATTATGTTGAAATGAAGGATATTTGATTACTTTTTAGATTTTTTATTGCTTTTTTTGTTGCTTATTTTTTGTTGAGAAACGCGTGCAGGAATTTTTTTTGTTTTTTTAGTAAAATAATCACACTCCAATGCCGTGGAAAATTTTTTTAATTGTAACTTATTATCTTCTGTGACTGCAAAAGAATGATATTGTAGTGTACCTGGTACGGTTTGAGCATCGTCGAATCTTCTTTTTAAATTTTGAGTAGCCTCAAGATGAGCGTCTTTACTGCTGTAGAAAGTTACGGTTTCTTTGCAATATATTTTTGTATAATCAAAAAGGGCTTTTGCAGTCAAAATTCGATTTTCAGAGGAGCATTGGAGGCTGTATCGTGCAGCATTTCTTTTTATACTTGCTCCAACCCCGTCACAAGGACCCTTGCCATGAGCTGTAGCATGGAAATGCCATTCAGCTACTATTCCAAAATCTGCCAGGTGAGCCAAAAGATTGGCGAAATTATTTTTATTTTTGAAATGTTGCCCAGCACCATCCGTAAAGTAGTACAACTTCTTAGGATGAAAATTAGTTTTTAAATAATCTATTATTATATTTTGATAAACATAAACGGCAGCAGTATCATGAGTCAAATTGTCAGATATTATTACAATACTTTTGTGCTCCAGTTTCTCAAATTCTTTATAATAAATCACCACTGTGAAAATAGTGGCTTGGTCGTTATTCCAATGGAAAGACTGAGCAGAATTTTGTAAAACAAAAGCATAATTCTCTGCAAAGTCACAAGTAATGAGAAATTCATCCTTTTGCAGAGAATTTTTCAAACTTTTCATGAACGATGATTGCTCTTTTGCAATAAAATGGTGTGACTTCAGTTTCATCAATTTTTGGCAAAGTTCGTTTACAAAATCGTCTGTACTTAAAATGATGGTATTTAAAGCACACCTATCTGTTTGCGTCCAGGAATCAAATTTAATTTCGTCAATTTCATTTTCCTCGAAATATTTAATTAAATTTTCTTCAACTTTTGACTCACCAGGACAGAATTCACAGCCTCCTAAATAACAACTACTTGTTGGATGCGAACAGATTAGGAGATTGATGCAATCGCTATAATTTTCAACATTTACCTGTGAATCGTTTATTAAAGCTTGAATGCCAATACTTTCTATCATTAGTCTCACATTTTCATGATACACGCAAACGCATACTGTATGAGTTCCGCTGCTTCCAGCTAAAACGCAATTTGCAGGCCTCAACTGAGCAAATTTTGAAAAGCATATCTCAACTTCTTTATGTTCACTTTTAAAAAGAGAGTACAACTCTTTAAGATTACAGAGTACCAATCTTTTTTGGACATGCTCCCGACTCCCATCACTTTTACGAATCGATACAAAATCCTTCATCCCTGCTAATAAGCGACTATTATCGTCTTGTTGATAAAACTGTTTTACAAGTTTTTCAACGTCAGAATCCAAAGGTTTTCCTTTCCTTGGAGCAGGAAGTGCTAGAATCCCTTGCTCTGAAACCAACTTTTTTGCAATCCTAACGCTGCGTTCGGATGCACCAAACATTGACATAATTTTTTTTCTGCCCAATGACTTTGGTGCAAGTGTGAGAAGTTGAATTCTTTCAGATCTATTAGGAGATATTTTAAATTTCTCAATAATTGCTTCTAAAACTTCAACAGCTGCTTTATGATTTAAGTCATCACATTGGGGTAATGAAGAATTTTGTGGCATAACTGACACAAAATCAACATCTTTATCATCATCCAGCTCGTCAATTTCAGCATCAGAAGATTCAATATTAGAGGCAATAAGATCAGAAAAATCAATATTAGAAACAGAAGAATTTAATTTTGAATTTAAATCATCTTGAGTAGTTTTTAATTTATAAATCTCTTTTCTACACTTAGAACAAATTTTTGAATCTTCCGGTAATGTCGAAAATTTTTCTCTTAAATAATTTGAAACGCGACGTAAATCATTTGATTTGTGTTTTTCTTTTCCTAAAGGATTTACACATTCATTTCTCCAAACAAGTTTGGAGCTTTCTTTGGCTTTTGCCATTTTATCGAAAATAATAATTTTAAGTAAATTATACTTAAAATCTCGAATTGAAAAATAAAACGTTAATTAAACTCTAAAATACTTACCTCGAAAATACTTACCTTGAACACAATATTCTCAAAATAAATTGAGGAAGAAAATTATTTGAATATAGTCAGCCCTTTTATATGTGCAGCGATCAGTCTTAGTTGCGAGTTACTAAAAAGCCGTAAGCCATCTAGCGAAAAGACAGCAAACTAACTAACACGCGGGAAAAATTTGAAAACAAGAGAACATTTGAAAAGAGTAAATTAATAATAATATTTAATAGGCAGCTTGATTAAAGAAATAATTCAAGTGTATAATTATTGATTGATTAATTTACATAATTATTTAATTTAAACAAAAATATAAATATTTTTTAAATAAAAGCATATATGTGACCGGGTCTGAGAAAACGATGTTATCGAACAAAAAATCAATTTTTTTTATAATGGTTTCTTATAGTTTAAGGTCCTAAAAATACAATGCAACTAATCTCGAATGTTAAAAAAAAATTTTTGCATTTGTTTATAACAATTTATAAATTTTTCAAAATTAACGAAAAATTCGACTATATATATTTACTGAAGTAAACAGGAATAATATAAGTGCGTACAACGATGGGTACTCATCTTTGCGTCGATAGCGCGGGTGCACCGCCTACTTTAATATTCTGTTTCTCACAAAATTATTGTTGTCCCATTTTCATATTTACATAGCTCATAGGAAAAAACCTCAGCTTTCCAATAAAAATAAAAAAAAAAAAAAAAAAAATACCCGAAGGGGTGAAAATCGAAAAAAAAGGGTTGATTTTGAAAAAAAAGGGGTTAAAAATTTTTTTTTTTAATTTTCGTATACATTTTTGAAAAGTACGTGAAAAATGCATTAAAATTCATTATATATAAATTAAAATTCATTAACTTTTGTCATAGTTATACGGATTTGAAAATGACAATGTTACCCTTAACGTCAAAACTTCAACCCCCTCTACTTTCTACAAATATTTTTTTAATGAGTTTATATTTTGGGGATTTATTACTGTGATATAGGACAACAATTTACCAAAGTATAAAGCCAATCCAAGAACATCGACTTTTTGGGCTGGGGCGATTGAAAAAGAATCTCTCATATTTATTTTTTCTTTATATATTTTTTTCTTTCTTATTTATTTTTTCTTTCTATTTATTTTTTTTTATATATTTTATATATTTTGTATATTTTGTATATTTATAAAATAAGTGTTTAGAAAGCTTCGATTTTTTTTGGACACCTAGTATATATTATATCGAAAAATAAATAGATCAAACAAAAATTTCACAAAAGTCACTATTGTTACAAATACACGGAGAAATGTTGCATAATACAATCAAATTTAATTTACATAAAAATACGTCAGTTTGGAAAGTTGATTTCTCATTATAAATTGAATCGATTTTGTTTTTGTTTTTTTTTTATTTTATTTTCATTAACTGGTTTTAGTCAAATCTTGTTATTCTCGATTAATTTTTTTTTTTTGGTGCATTTTCTAAAAAGACAAATCAACAACGTTTATTTTACTAAAAAGTAATTGAATATATATTTTGTTTTCTATTTATTTAATTCGAAAAAAATTACAAATTTTTTGCTAAATTGAATATTTTACCATTATTTACGTTTTAATTCATTTATAATTCTTTTTTTTCCATAAAAATTGTAATTGAAAATAATTTAATTTAAAAAAAAATCTCTATAAACGAAAAATACATTTTTTTTTCCTATTAAATATTTTTTAACAATAATTTTTTTTTTTTATAAAAATATAATTACTCTCTAAAAAAAATCTAAATTATTTTTATTTACAATTTTTTTTCCCCCCACAAAAATATAAATTTCTACTTAATATGGAATAAAAAAAAAATTGCAAAAATTAACAAGAAAAACATTGACAAAATAGCGAAAATTTTTTTTTCGTAAAGAATTCATAATTTATATTTTCGAGTCATCGCCAAGAAAGGGCGTTAAGAAAAAAAGAAAAAAAAAAGGGTTAACGCATGGTTGGAGAAAAATATTCAGTTTAGCAAAAGTTGAGTCATCGGAATCGCGGCGACAGTGTGCGAAGGGTGAGAGGAGAAGCGGGGGGGCAGAAGGGGGGCAAGTGAAAAGTAAAAGAGAAGGAAAATAAAAAAGAAAAACAAAATTCTCAAATCAAAAAAAAAAATAAATAAATAAATAAATAATAAAAAAAATAATTATTATAATGCAAATAATTTAAGATTTGGAAAATATTTTACCTTTTCTTTTTTTTCATGAGAATAATGTGAAATTGAGGCGTAATATTCAATTCCAACAACATATTTATACAATGAAAATTGATGCACCATTTCTGCCCGTGTACGATGAGGAGCGAGACATGCACAGAGAGACGACATCAACGGGAACATGCGTACATCACGACGACGAATGGTTCGCGAAATTAATCGCTCGGTACGATCGAAGACTTTTCATGATCAAAGTGCACATGCTTTATATATATATATACATATATATATCTATCTATATAGATATATAGTTGAAAAATAATGAGTTTTAATATCCCCGGCGAGACTGATGTTTCCGACCTTGATAGTAGATAGAGATTTTGACATTTTCCATATAACCAAACCCAATATATATATATATACGTATATATATATATATTTTTATATATACACACACGTATATAATATAAAATCGGAACTATATTTGCTCTAGGTTATTTTGCACAATGTTCTTATTGACCACACACTACACTTTTTCTTTTTCTTTTTTTTCTCAAAAGTCTTTGAATTTTGAAAAAAATTTTCCAAAAAATAATGAAAAATTTGTCTGATTGAAACAAGTTCACGGGGAGGGCCACCGTCTTCTTTTTCACATCACGAATCAATATTTTAAAACTCAAAGCAAGACTAACATTTCACCTTACTGCATGTCGGTTCGATTTTCTCGTTCCGTACATCATGAACGAGAACGATTCGTTCGGAGCAACTATTCCGTATGTGTATGTGTGGGTGTAAAGAGAGAGTTGCGAGCATGAGAAAAAGAGAGAGAGATGGAGAAATTGTCGTACGTTTATGTGCGCGCGCAACAATTGTTATACGCGAGAGCAACCCGCGAAATCTTCATTTTCAATTCTTAAGGTGGATTTTCATGGAAAATTTTCTGTACATACAATAGTGGAAGGGGGGAGGGGGGGGGAAGAGAGAGGAAAAATGGAGAAGGGTTCGAAAAAAATAGAAAATCATTAAAAAAAACAAAAAATGATTTCAAAAATGTATTTGGTAAAAAAATTTTCTGAGAATAACGATTATTTTATTGTTACAGTAAAACATTCGCATTAATTATAAATATATATACTGTGAAATTAATAATAATCTGCAAAAAAAAAATATATAATAAATATTTATTATTAAATGTTTTGTAAAAGAAAAAAAATTATTGAAGGTAAGAAAATAAATTTTTTTTCATATTTGGTTTTTTTATAATTATAGAATATTTTATTTTACATGTAAATATTTAATATTATTTTTAACGAAAGCATTATTTTTATATAAAATAATATATTTTTTTAATTTTAAATAAAAATTCTGTTTTTGTTCCTTATTTCATTTAAAAAAAAATAAATTAATAAATACAAAGTAAATTCATTTAAAATACAATTTGTATTTGACTGAAAAGTGAGGTTATGTTCGTCAAAATTTTAAAAATTATTTCTTATATTATTATAAAAATTTTAAATAATCCAATTTTTGTTGAAAAAAAAAAATAATTTTAAACAAATTTTTGTTATACATAAAAAAAATTATTTTTTACAGAAAAATGGATGAAGCAACTTTAAATAGGTAATTAAAATTTTTTATCAAAAAATTTGATTAATTATTTGATTATTTATTTATTATTATTTATAATTTAATATATTTTTATTTTTTTTTAAATAATCCCGTATGCAAATTTTTATATTTTATTATTATTATTATTATTATTATTATTATTATTATTATAAATAAATAAATTATTTGTCGTTATTTTTATTATAAAAAATAAATAAATCAGGTATTTTTTACTTTCTTAAATGTAATTTCCTATAAAATGTTTAATAATTATTTTTATAATTAAAAAATTTTTTATATTTTATCATTAGCTGATATTATTTTTTTTTTTTTTTGTTATTATTATTACTATTATTATTATAAAAATAAAAAATGTTTATTTATTTTTCCCAAAAAATTACTTCAAATTATTTTATAATTATTATTCTAATTCAAAATAAGATACTTTTATTTATTAATTTTTTTTTTAATGTAAATTTTAATTATAAATTGACTTAAATTAATTTATTAACAGACTTGCAGTGGAGGCATTACTTGACGAGGCAAAAAATGGTGCAAAACGTGCTGAAATAATAGGACCAAGCGGTTGGGTGAAAAATAAAGAAAGTATTAATAAAAGATTTTTACATTCAACTCTAAGAAATGTCGTTCAGTCAAATAAAAAACGTATTAAAAAAGAAAATATCATCAAATCACCATCGAATGACAGTAAAAAAAATTTTAAAACAGATAAAAAATCCGACAACATTTGATTGTTAAAAAAAAAAAATCAAAAATTAGTTAATATTTTTTTTTCACCGCTATAGTGTATTAAAAAACTGACAAATTCCAAATATAAACAGGGTGCTGTAATGTTAAAAAAAAAAATGACAAATTTGAAATATTTTTAAAAGTTGATAAGAGTAAAATAAAAAATTCTATATAGTCATATATTTTTTTTTGTAATTATTGTATTTTTTTTTTATAGAGAACAAAGACACACAAACTCCCTTGTATAAAATTATATATTGTCCTAATTGTAAATATAAATTGAATTCAATAAGTTTTTTCTATGGCAAATTTTAAAACTATTATACATTAACAAAAAAAAATTCTAATTATTTCTTTTAAAACAGTAATTATTTACATTGTGGATAAAATTTTAATAAAATTTAAATTTTAAATAGTCTATAAATATAATAATTTTTTAAATTCAGGTAAATAAATTCCTATTCTGCCATTTATCCACATTTTTTTTTTGTATGAAAAACTGTACAATTATTTTGATAGAATATTACAGATATTTTTCTATATTTAGAAATTTATCTACTTATTTCTTTTTACAAAAGAAACGATTATGAAAATCTTTCTATATTCATTTTACTTTCGTCAATCATTGAAATGATTTAACTGCGTACAATAATATATGAAGTATATAAAAATTCAACACTTCACAGAAGTTGTATAATAAATTGATATTTTTTTTCACAAATGTATTAATTTAATTATTATATCAGCAGTCTTTCAAATGATAGAAAATTTTGAAATTGTTTTTTTTTTTTTTAAATTAATTCATGTAACATCTGAAATGTACATGTTTTTTTTTTCATTTGTAAAGTTAATAATTGAGCTCTGTACACATTAAATATGCGTAAGCAAAACAGCAGCCATTTGAGGTGACCTCAAATTAATTAAAAAAAAAAAAATTAATTACCAACTAGAAAAAATTTTAGACTCTTTTTTTTGGTCTCGTTTTTTCTAGCTTGTCTTGGTAAATCAAAATTTTGTCGAATTACATAATTTGTAAACACGAGATCCTCCTCCTCTCACCGTGAAAAAAAAAAATGAAAAGTAGTTTCCAAATCTGAAATTCATTTCAGATTACTTTTCATCATTTTATGTTGATCCATTCTTTTGGATCTCTTGCTTCTTCTTGTCCTCTAAGAGATTTTTCATGTCCATTAGAGCTTTTTTGATTTGCTCGCCAAATCGCGCTGAATTCTAAAAAAAAAAGAATAGTTGGATATTTTTTTAGAATATAATTAATAAATAATTGCTACTATTAATTAATTAGTAATTATAATTTTTAATTAATAATTGTAATTATTAAATAAGAATTAATAATTTATAAATGTAATTTTTAATTAAGAATTAATTATAATTAATAATTGTAATTATTAATTAGGAATTATTAATTATTTATTAATTAATTATAAATTAATATATAAAAAAAAAATTTTTTTAATTTAATTTTTAATTATCAGATAAAAAAAATACCGTCGCTGGTGAACTACGTTTACTGGAAATATGGAAAAATATTATATCCTCTCCTGCAATAATATAAGAAACTCCATAGCCATCGTCGGCAACTGGACCAAATCCACCACCCGCGGAAATGCAATTTGGAAATTTTTTCAAATTAATTCTCGTTGTTTGTCCATGTGGTGTTTGTGACGTTGACAATTTCCAAGGCTCGCTTAATACTTCCTAAAAATTTTCAATTTGAAAAAAAAATCAATTATTATTCAATCAATACACGAATAATAATTATTAATTTTTATTAATTAAAAAAATTAAATAAATAAATTATTAATAATAAATTACTTAATTTATTTATTTTATCAATAATAAATAATTTTAATTATTATTACTGATTAAGTAATTATAATAATTAATTAATTTATTATTAATAATTAATTATTTATTCTTAATAATAAATTAATTAACTACAATTAACAATATTAAATAATTATTTTATTGATTTTTTTTTAAATTTTAATTATTTTATTAGAATTTAAAAAAAAAATTTTTCGCTACCTTCAAGAATGGGGAATCAACCTCCAAATATTTGGAAACAACATAGAGGCAAAACAAATGCCTGTCAATTCCATTTCCAACCATTGCATTTTGATAACCCAATTGATGTACTTTAACAGCTTCATTTAATAATTTAAGTCGTTCATCGACTGTTTTTGTTTTATCTTCCATTGCCTTGACCCAGGCTGACGATTCATTGGTACAAGGTCGTACTGTTTCAGTTCTACCTTCGCGGAATAATCTTGTCATTGATGCCTCATAAGTGAGACTAAAATGTCCAGCATCACGATAATAGGCAAGTTGGAGTGCCATTTGAATATAAGCGTCTGGTGACATTGAACATTTTTTCATAAAACCTTTTCCATAAATGTCATTAACATAAATTCTTAAATCCACATCGTTCAATAATTTATCCGCCTCCTGAAATTAAAAAAATTAATTAACATTTTTTTTATTAATTAATTAATAATTAATACATAATTTATTATGTAAATTAATAATTAATTTATAATTTACTAATAAATTAATAATTAATTCATAATTTATTAATCAATTAATAATTAATTTATAATTTATTAATTATTAATATTGTTTTAAATAATTATTTTAATAATTTAATTTTTTTAATTTAATAATTAATTACGTACTAAATATGATTTTTCAATTGCGTCAAGACATTCTTTCGTTAAATCCCACTGAAGTCGTGATGGTGACGGTGGAATTAATTCCGGTGTTCCAAGAGTGTGTCCATCTTCTCGAAATCTGGATAAAATTGAAAAATTTCATTTTTAAAAAATTTTGCTTTCATTGTGAAAATAATTAATAAAAGCTGTGCAAAACTGTACATACTAATATCGATTTTTTTTCCTAAATTAATTTTACACTTTTTTTCATATTAATAAAAATAATGTCAAAATTAATTACATTTTTTTTTTTTTTTTGCAATATTTACGACTAAAATACCAAAGCTATTTACAAAAGAAGAAATCGATATTCGTGAATTGAAAAAAAAGCGTGCGATTAAAAAATAATAGTGATTTAAAAAGTGAAAAAAATATTAGAATTATAAAGAAAGCATTAAATTATGATTTATAAAAGAATAGATTGAAGAAAAAAATTTTTTTTTTTTTTTTTGCAAAAAAGTGAATCATTCAATAGAAAATTACTTGTTAAATCACTGCTTGTGAGTAAAGAAGTGCTTTGTAACAAATTACCCAACATCAACTGCGGTACCAAGAACATATTCCCATAAGGTTCCCATAATAGGTGCATCGGCCCTAACAAATCACAAGAGTAAAGAAAAATTTTTTTTAGTTATACCAAATTCAAAAATTTGTTAATTTCCATTTAAAATTCATTTTTCACCACAGCAAATCGAAATTTTTTATTTTCTAAAAAAAATTAAGAAACATTTTTTTTTTTTTGGGTAAATAATAAACCAGTCTTTTGTAAGTTGAAAATTATTAATTTGTGCCCCACTGTTTTTTTTGGAAAAAAGCCAAGAGAAAATATTAAAAGAAGCCTACTTTCTTTTTGCACCAGATAAATTTTGCTGTAGAAAAAAAAATTCTTACACTGGATTTTGAGCATCGTCAGATATCACGTACTCCCACATGTGTGACATTACTGCTGCGTCTGCCCTACTCATTTACTCATTATTATAAAATAATCTTTTAAAAGTAGATAAAGAAAAAGAAATTTACCTTTATCTTTTTTATAAACAAAATAAATAAAAAAAAAAAAAAATTAAGAGATGAAAAACAAACCCCACTTTCGAAAATTCACAAATAAAAAAAAGAAATCTATAAATAAATATAGAAAAAAATTTTAGAGACAATATTTTTAATTTTATAAAAATATTTTTCCAAAATAAATTATTGTTTTTCTATATGAGCTCTTTTTGAAATTTTCTCCATATACTTTTCTATGCTAAAAATTTTTTGATTTCTAAATAAAAAATAATAAAAATAATAATTTTCAAAAATTCACTTTTTAAAATTTTTTTATCTTAATAATTAATAATTATTCGAAAAAAATGAATTTTTTCTATTAAAATATTCACTAATAGTCCAAAAAAAAAAGTTTAAAATAAACTAAGGAAAAATTTTTTCTTTTCAACATACCACGAGTGTTCAGCATTGAAACCAATCTGCAAAATAAATAAAATTTAATTATTTTTGAAATTCCATTTCTAAATAAAATAAAATATAAATTTAAATAAAAAAAAAAAAATTTTTACCCTTCCATTGTTGCCGATGCACAATGTAAATGATTTATCAAACCATCTGTCGTGACCTTTTCCATGCAATAAAATTCGTCCATAATTGTCCAATTTTTCAGGATATTTCTAAAATTCAAAAAAAAAAGAAAAAAAAATTAATCACAAATTTTATCATCACAATTAATTTATATAAATAATTATAAAAAAAAAATTTTTATGAACCTTATCAAATTCATAAGGAACATCATCGAGAACAACAATGAAAGCAGCTTTTTCAATTAAATCCAAAGAAGCTCGATTAACGCCTTTGAAAAAATATTTTTGTCTCGTTTGGGCCCAATGTGTTCTTTCGCCAGCAGTCAACGATGCTAATTTTTCTTCTCCTTCAGCAGGCGACGATGTGTCATCCAAAATTTGTTGAATTTGTCTGCAAATTATTAATACTAATATTAATTTATAAATAAATTATTTCACATTACAATATTGGGAAAAAAAATTATTAAGTAAAAATAATATTATATTAATTAATACATAATATCAATATCAATAATAATAATAATAATAATAATATAAATTAATCATTAATTTTCTTTATTAATATTAATTTTTTTTTTATAAACGAACTCAAAAATAAAAAATCCTCTTTCGTTACTCTATAAAATATTAATTATAAAAAAAAATTTTAAATTAGTTTTAATATTTATTAATTATTCATTAATGTATTATTTAATTATTTTAATAATTAATTTATTATTATTATTATTATTATTATTATTATTATTATTATTATTATTATTATAAATTTTCACATTACGTAATATTTAATAACTGAAAATAAAATAAAAATTGTAAAAAAAAAAATAAAAAAAAAATTCAACTTTGTACATAATATTACAATGAAACTCCAATTGAATGCAACTTCTGCTTCGATTGGAGTTACAAAAAAAATATTAAAAAAATAAAAAATGTAATTTTTAAAAAATTCATCACTTACTGTTCAATTTCACATGGCATGAGAATCCTATTCTTATAATAGATAAGCACCTTGAAATATCTGCCTTTGTGATAAACAACAACGTGTTTTGCATCTTGATAATGAATTATTTTATCGGTCTCAATTCCAGGTATTCTTGTTGTATTAAAAAGTCTTTCATATTGCCACGAGCACAAGGGCACCAGACCTTGTATAAGAATCTACGGACACAAAAAAAAATGACAAGTGTCATATATTGATAAATAAATTAATTATTTTAATTTTTTTTTTTTTTTTAATCATTCTACCAACTGGTTCTAATTCTTGTCTTTCGATGAGACGTCTATATTGTAGACATGAATGAATCGTTGACGCTGCTCGTGCCGCTTGTATTGTTGTTGGTTGCATTAAAATTGCATCGATACCATAAAAATTTGAATTCACCATTAATGCTGAACGACCACGTAAATAAACATATTCCTCCCACCAATCGGAAACATAATTTGTTGACCACCATGATTTTAACATTAAATAACGTTGTAATTTCACAGCAATTCCTTGTTGAAATTCTTTTGCCAATTTTTCCATACGTGTGTAATTTTTATCGTCCAATAGAGGTCGTGCACTTACTAAATACTGTTTCAAAAAAAAAAAATAATTTATTTATTTTCCCTCTTGATTTTAATTTAGTAAATAAAAATATTTTAATTTTTTACATTGAAACTCCAATCAAATGCAGTTGTATTCGTTTGGAGTTTCAGTGTAAAATCGAAAAAATTAAAATTGTGAGATTAGAAAAGAAAAAAAAAACGAACCCTTTTCATAGTGTCTTCAACGGAAGGAAGTGGAAGTCTCGGTAATGAGCCTTGAAAACTGTACAGCATTGGCTTGTTCCAGCCAGAAAATAATTTAACTAAATAAAACCACAATAGGGTTTTATAAGAGGGACGACTTCCCCTTCGACTTGCTGCCTCAAATAACCATCCCTTATAAATTAATAATAATTTTAATGTATAACGAATTCCATATATCACAACTAGCCACAATAATAATCCAACTACAATTGAACCTGCAAGATGTGCTGGTATAGAAGACCTGCAAAAAAATTTTAATCATTAATTTTTTTTTCTCTAAATAAATAAAAAATAAATAAATAGGTACTGAATCATATATTTTTTATTAAAAAATTTTTGGAAATTTTTCTATGAAAAAAATATCGAAACTCCAATCGAAGCAAATCCAATTGAGTACAGTACTCTCGAGTTGCTTCGATTGGAGTTTCAAAATTTTTTTTATTAAAAAAAATTACTACGAATACAAATATTACAAAATTTTGCAAATATTTACCCTGACAGGTATGGAGATACTTTTCCAACTAAATCATAAGGAACTTTATATCCTGCAAAATGAACTGCTGTCACTAATGATATTGTAAGCCATAAGCTTCCCAATGAGGCTGGATAAACGCCACTTTTTAAATTATTCTGAAATGAGAAAATTACATTAATTTCATAATTAAATTTATAATTTTTATAATTTTTATAATATAAATTTATGATTAATTTCAAAATTAATTACAAAATTAATTTAATAACTAATTTTATAATTAATTTTATAATTAAATTAATTACAAAATTAATTTAATAACTAATTTTATAATTAATTTTATAATTAAATTAATTAATAATTTTAATTAAAATATTTTTTAATAAATTTACATTTAATATAATTATCATATTTAAATTTTTTTTTACATTTTAAATAAAAAAATTTGTTTTTGATAACTTATAAATAATATTTAACATTGTAATACCTGGAATCTAAAAAATCTTTTCTTCCAAGAACGAATACCAGATTGCCAGACAAGATGAAGGACTTCTCTATCGAAATTCACGTCCCATCCCTCATGGGTAATTGCAAAACTAAATGCTACAGCTGAATGGGCTTCCGCCATAGTTGGCTATTTAAAAAAAAAAAATCCTAAAACACAAAAAATCATCTCATTATCTACAAATTAGAAATTTTTTTTATCTCTATATTTGAAAAAACGAAAAAAAAATTTAGTTATTTTATTTAATAATTATTTGTAATTAAATAATACCAATAAAAATAGTATTTTCCTAAATTTATCGACTCGAATTTTATTTAAAAAAAAAAAAAAAAACTTTTTTCATCTATACACTTCGATTATATTTATAATTTCTTGCCCTTTAGACGCTGTGTCCCATTATAATAAAAAAAAAAAAAATACAATTGCCAAATCAAATTTAAACGTCTTATAAAATTTAAATTCGATTTATCTTACGCAATACCGATTATTCAATTTATAAATATATTTCGAATATCTTTTTAAAATTACTTCCTAAATTATAAATATAGACAACTTGATATTTTTTTTTCGACACCTGATACAAATATCAAAGAAAAATATTTAAAAAAAAAATATATATATATTATAATACAAAATCAAGAATATAATTGTATTGAGTCGCATATTCACTATGTGGTAATAATGTAGAGCAAACGCAGATGTACTTAATTGACCTTATTTAAAAGGAAAATCAGCAGTTAACATTTTAACGTTGTGAATCGTCATAAATTGTAAAGAATAAAAAAAAAAAGCTCAATGTTCTTGTATTTAAAAAGAAATAGGAAAAAACAATTTTTTTTTTAAATTTATGTATAATTGCATTCTCAAGGAGCCAATGACTCTTAAAGTGTTTTTATTCTATTCTCTTTTCTTGAAAATGAATAAAACAAGTGAAGAAAAAAATTATTAATATATAAAAAAATATGTAAACAAAAAAAATAAAAATATTAATTAATTATATTAAATAATTAATAATTAATAGTTAATAATTAATAATATTAAATAATTACTACAATTCTATCTAGTGAAATTTTTTGCAAAAAAAAACCTGCATTCGAAACAATATTTTTTTTTGTTTAAACAAAATTTTGTTTCAAAAATTAAAAAAATCAAAATCAAAAAATTGTAAATTTCCTCTGAATTGAATAATAAAATGTTTAAATTGAATGTTTAGCAAAGGCTAAAATGTAAAATCATGATGATGATGATGATGATGATGATGACGATTTTGTCAGTCTTGTAACAAACCAGTTAGAATAAAATGTCAGTTTTCAACTCTATGTATATAGTTTATTCGATGACGTGCATATCGCAATCGTGTAACCTTGGACTTCGAACTGAAATCGCATAGACATATATATGAATATTCTTTCAGAAATAATTTTTAAGTAAACGTTTGTAACTGTCAAATGAATCTTCCAGAAGCATTAGAAACATTCAATCTGTCGCATTTTATATATATATATATTCATAATTGATAAATTTTATCAAAAAAAACAATAATTTATATTCATTTACAAATAATCTTAAAACATTTGCGCGACAAAATAAGAAACGCGCAAATCTTTATTTCATTTTAATAAATTATCAATTCTTTTTTTTTTTTTTTTTTTGCTAACAATTCAATGATTTCCTGTACGAAATTTTTTTAATTTACAATAGTAAAATAAAACAAATAAAATTTATTTAATTCGCAAGTAAAAAAATTATTTAGTTCAAATTAATTCAACAATTGCAGAAATTAATTTTTTTGTAATGTAGAAAAATTTTAATTTTATTAAAATTTATTTCAAAAGAAAAAAAAAAATTGTTTTCCTATTTTGTCATTGAAAAATTATACTTCCTTTAAAAAAAAAATATTTTTTAATTTTTTGAACTACTTGTTATTGCATAAATGTTTTCTAGAAATGTAAGAATTTTTTTTTTTTTTAATGATAGTCAATAATAATAATAAAAAATATGTTTAGAAATTAATATTACTTTCAATATTATTGTCACCAATTTCAAGAAACATTATTGAAAATAAAAAGAGAAATATGTATTTTTCAAAAAAACAATATTGGATTATACAAACTGATTTTAAAAACCTCTTGAACGTTGAGTTCTTTTTTTTAAAAAAATAAATAGCCAATAAAAATTGACACAAAGATTAAAATTCAAGACTTGACATTGACCGAATATAATTATTTTCGCATTTTTTTTTTTTTTTAAATTATCGCAATTTATGACAAAAAACGTAATTTACAATATTTTATAAATAATCATTTTTACAACTCGAATTTTTTTTATATAATTTTTTTTTATACAATTTTTTATTACAACAAATTTTTTTCACTATTTCAAACATTTTTCTATATTAATAAATATATTATTATTAAATAATTATGATTTAAACAAATATAATTTTTTCTGATTTAAATAAATAATTATTCAAATGAACAATTTTTTTTTTTTTTTTGAATTTTAATGTCAAATTTTGTTTTGGAGGGGAAATATTTGCATCCAATTACCTAATATTTACAATATTATCCAATGAAAAAAAAATGTCTACATAGTATTCTCGATATTAAAATTACTTTCGCAAGAAATCATTGATTGCGTGAAGACACATCAAGAGAGGTAAGAAAAAAAAAATAAAAAAAAAAAAAAAAACACAAAATACCCCACCTGATTTCCAAGACTACTTTCATGGGCTTCAAAGTCCAAGGTGCAAGTATTTCCGCAGTTAACAATAACTGGTTTTAAAATTAATACCTACAGTGTACAAAATTATTAAAAATTTATAAATTAATTTTACCGATATTTATAATATATTATTTAAATGAAATTATATAGAAAAACATTTATAGCATCATGGGAAAATATTAAATCTATAAATAATTTATACAAAATTTTTGACATATACTCTAAACATTGAAAGCAAACAATAAGGAAAAATTCTGTTTGTCACAATAGTATATATATATTGTATATATGCAAGAATATATTAACATATATTTGATTTTTTGTAAGCCCGTTTATTATTGTAAATAAATAAATAAATAAATATTTATTATCAAATTAACTGACAAACACAATTTTTTTATTTATTGTTAAGTTATGATTGAAATAAAATCAAAGAATAAATTTTTTTAATAAAAATTATTCTAAATAAAATATTAATAAATAAAAAAAATAAATAAAATAAAAATATATTCTAAACAAAAAATTAATAAATAATAAAAAAATAAATTCTAAATAAAATATTAGTAAATAAATAAACAATGAATAAAAAAATGGATCCCAACATAACAAATAAAAAGAAATCAATAAAAATAAATGATACACAAAAAAAATATAAAATAATTAATTAATAATTAATATTACCTATTTAAACATTTTATCCGGATTATTTATTATTTACTATAATTTAAAAAAAAAATTTTTAATTAATTTTTTTTTATAAATTAAATTTTGAATTCTTTAAAAAAAAATTTTTAAATTATTGGTAAAATATTCTCTTGCATGTAAAATGTATAATACAAATATTTTACAAATATTACGTTTTTGACAGATGAACAATACAAATGAATCACAAATCAATTTTCGATACTTCTATCTAATCTCGAATACTAATTGTTTGTTAATTATTATACGATACATTAATTTTGCAAACGTTCATATATATATATATATATATATATATATATATATATATATATATATATAACTTGAATTTTATCAACACGTTTGCATGCAAAAAATTAATAAAAATTCTCATTCACTTTTTCCACGCGCAGAAATTAAATAAATTTCATTTAATCAAACGATTTTAATTTGCGTTTATAAATTAAATTATTTCTTTCAAATTTTTGTTTATATGTTAAAGAAAAAATAATTTTTTTTAATATTAATTTATATATCATATATATATATATGTGTGTTGATTAATGATAAGAGGTTGTTACTCTGTCGAGACGTTAACATTCAAGTTGTACATATATATTAACGTAAAATAATAATTTTTCATTGATAATTTTGCATTCATTATGTAAATGTGTCATATTTTATATTTTGAAGTGGCTATTCAGACCTAATCGAGCATAGAATTTAGTATCATAAACAAAATTTATTGGCACTTCATCATTGAAAATCTGTGAATTTTTTTGTTTTTTTTAAGTAAATGATTATTTGAGATAATGGAAAAAATATATCAAAGTTTGTGAATAAAAAAAATTCTTTTTTTTTACAATAAATTAAATGAAAAAAAAATTAATTAAAAAGAAAAAATTTAATTTTAAGAAAATAAAATATAATTAATTAATTAAATTAAAATCCGATTTAATTTGCCCACAAAATGGAAAGTAATTTTTAAAATAAAAAAAATTATAATAATAAATAAATAAAAAAAGAAATGAAAGTATAAAATATTAATAAAAATGGATTAAAAAAATGGACCTTTTCATAATTTTCAAATAAAATTATTTATTGTCGCGAATACGATGTTGTTAATGAAAATTTATATAACAATTGCAATATTACCGATGATTAATATACAGAAATTCAATAAACTTTCCAACGTGCGAACGTAACGTAAATCATTTATAAAATTTAAAATGGAAAGTTTTTGAAAGCACTCTATATAAGAATAATAATTGACTTTTTATGATCTCAATAAATTATTGACAATCCAATCAAATGATTTGATGATGACATTTTTATTATCTGTATAACAAAAATCAGAACTTAATTTTTTTTTTTCTTAAATCATTCGCAAAAATCAATTTTCAATATGGAATATTACAATAAAAAATTATTATTTTATTATTATTATTAATTAATAACATTATTATTTTATTATTATTATTAATTAATAATATTATTATTTTATTATTATTAATTATTATTATTATTTAAATAAATAAAAAAATAATAATAACTATTTTTTCTATATCTATAAAATAAACTTTATACTTTAATTTTCATAAATTTTCATAAGAGATAATATTTTCCAATGATACCAATAATCCATTAAATTATAAAAAAAGCCAGATGGTAATTATTCCTTGTATTTGTTAGATATTTGTAACAAAAAAAGAAAAGGAAACTTATTAACCTTTAATCTTGAATTTAAAAAAAAAAAAAAAAAAAAAGTTTTTCCCCAGACGAATAGAAAATTAGAAACAATTTTTTTCTTTTTTTTTTAGAATAAAAGTCAAGACAGACAATACGTAAAATACATTTATAAACATTGTAAATAATTTTTATTTAATTGTTGTAACAAAGGTTTTCGATCAAGGTCAAAAAGTTCACGTTGAATAATTTCCAACATCTTTTATGGACACGCTTTTGTTAAATTTTCTTTTCTTTATTATAGATTTTTATTTGGAAATCAATCGTTTATTCGCAATTTAGTGTTTAAAAATTAAAAGAAATAAAATTAATTTAAAAAAAAAAAAAATGATAATTTTTCGATATAAATATTATTATATTAAAGAATTTGTATACGTATCAATTTTAAAAATAATTTTTTTAAATAATTGCTTTCATTAGCATTTTATATAATTCCACCTACTCTTTTGTTGTTTTATTAAAAATAAATTTTTTTTTATAAAATAAAAAAATAGAAATTTAAAAAAAATAATTTTCGACAATACATAAAAATAAAATAAATAAAATAAATTCTATAAGATGTTTTAGAACTAAATTTTTTTTTATATTTTTATTCAAAATATTGTTTTGATAGCATTATTTTTTATCACTGTAGTTTTTTGCATATATTTACGCAGAGATTTGAGAAATTTATTTAATCCCTTTAGTCTGCAACTTTGTTTTCTCTTTTAATGAGATCAGGTAAAAAAAAAAAAAAGAAACAGAGACCTCCATATTTGAGATAATGAATCAACACGACCTTCTTAATATATGAATAAAAAAATAAAAAAAAAAAAATTGCGATACTGCACAAAAATGAAGGTCCAAAGATTCATTAAAATCAAAATTTAAGGGCAATGACATTTTATCATTGTTTTCCATTTTAATGTTGAAAAAATTTTCTAGACAAAACAATTTAAAAAGGATAACAATAATAATAAAATAAAAAAAAATTATAAAAAATATTTCTTAAAATAAAAAACAATTTTAAAAAATAACAATAATAATAATTGCTAATTTTCTTTTTAAATTAAGGTCAATTCCCTTTTTTCTCTCAAGAATAAATATAATGATTTACGTATAAGCATTGTTCAAGGTGAAAAATTATAATTATTTCAATTATAAAAATTCTACTTGTATCAAGTGTCGAAAATATTATAATTACAAGTGTGAATAATAATAAAGTAATAAACAAATTTAAAAAAAAATATAAAAATAATTTATAAAAAAAAATTGATTTAAATAATTAAAAATAATAAAATACAGGAATTTATATACTATATATAAAGTCTATTATTTTATATTATGCAATAATTAGTTAACTAAATTAGGAAATATTTTTTTTATGCAATTAAATTTATTTTCCATTATGAAAGAGAATGAAAATGTAAATTTTATGAGTAGCATTCTTTCAATTATTTTTAAATTCTGTATTCCATTCTTTTTTTTTCCTTCCTTTTTTTAAATTCCTCACAATACGTTGAACTCCAAAAATTTAAATGTTTACAAAAGAAGTCAATCGTCTTGAATGTAAATTACTGTCATAAATTTGCGTAATAAATTAGAATTTCAATTATCGAATGTTTTAACAAAGTGAAAAGCATATTTTAAATATTTTTTTTTGTTTTCCTTAAGTTTTCCTAGTCAGAAAATAATAAATAACAATAATAATAAAAATAATAATAATAAAAATAATAACTACAAAATAATAAATGAAAAATATTAATTAAAAAATAATAATTACGAAATAATAGCTATAAAAAATATTAATTAGAAAAATAATAATTACAAACTAAGTTTCTTTTTAAAAAAATATAATCAATCTGTAAGATATTTTTCTATTACAATAATTTCAATTGTTTTTCATTTTTTCTTTTGAAAAATAAATCAAAATTATTTCCAATAATTAAAATAAATTATTTAAATTATTATTTAAAATAATTATCATATTACTGTTAATTTAATAAGTTATTGTAAATAAATAATAAAAATAAAATATAATTAAAAAATGAAATAAATAAAAAATAATCGAGAATATAAATTAATTTTAAAAAAATAAAGAAAATAACCTAAAAAAACAAAAGGAAAACAATTGCATATTATTATTATTATTATTATTATTATTATTATTGAAAAATACAGTAAAGAAAACTGATAGCTAAATATCAATTGCGTCATAGCAGGAAGTAAAACTTCGATAGACCTTACGAAATATTTGTTTACTCACGTGAAAAGTCAAACAAAGACTATTTTTTCCCTCTTAGAACAAAAGTATTATTTTGAGGTAAAAAAAAAAAAGAGAAAATACTCTCAATTCACTTCATAAAGAACACGATTTTTTTTCACGAATTCTGCGTAATTTTTTTATTTTCTTTTTTTAAACTAAAAACCACTTTTACTGTTTTTCGTCTCAGTTTGGTGGTCAACCTGAACTAGCCAGGACACTCTCAACACACACACCTCACGGAAAAGTGAAACTCGAGTTTGGATTGGATATAAGAAGAAAAAAAAATATATCAAGACCGCACCTCCTTTATATTATATATTATAGTTACTTAAAAAATATTTCCTGCTTCTAAAAATGCACTATTATTTTATATTAATAGTTTCAACGCATATTGTTTCATCACATATAAAATATCAATTAGATAATTTAAAATCAAATTGATGAATAAAAATAAAAATAAAAAAAAAAAAAAATAGCGCCAAGATTCGTGACAGCTGATTTTTTTTCAGGACTAAAATTAATTTTATCCTTTTTGGAATTTAAAAAAAAAAAAAAAAAAAAAAAAAAAAAATCGCCAACACAATTTCACCGATTTTTATATATGTGTACACACTTTGAAGGTTGTTTTATGTATGTAAGTATTATTTCAACTGTTCTCAAGCAACAGGCACAAAAAACAGCGATGTGCCAAGAGAGCCAAGAATTTCACTCCACACTTGTGCGTCGACTGCTTGTACTGTGCTTCCCACTTTAAAACCCACATACATTCAGCTCCAAGTCACTAATACAAATGTTTAAAAAAAAAAAAATATTAGAGACGAGACGTTATGTATTTCATCCACAAAATTAGACGAAAAAAATTTTTTTTTTAAATTTTATAAATTTAAAATTGTTTTTTAATTTAATTAATAATAATTAATTGATTAGAATTAATGAATTAGATAATAATAATAATAACTAATAGAAATAATTCATAATTAATTAGCATTAATTAAAATAGTACATTATTTATTAATTAATTTAACACCTAAACAATTAATTAACATTGTTACAATTATAATTGTATTAAAAATTAAATTAATTAATAATTAAATATTTAATAATAACTAATTGTTTTATATTTGTTATTATTTTTTATTTTTGTTTTGTTTATACTATAATTATTATATTTATAATAATAATAATAAAAAAAAATATTTATTATTTTTTATTTAATAAATATAAATTATTTTATTATTATATAATTAAAATTATTATAAATAAATTTTTAGTAAATATAAAGAAAATATTCTTAAAGAAATTTTATATTTTAAAATATTTATTTATAATTTATATTAATTATATTTTTAATTATTTAATGTGACGAATCATAAAACACGTGGGGAAATCGAATAAACGAGGTCAACATTTCTCTGGATTTTGTTTTTTTTTTTTTAACTTATTTTATCTGCTTCAAATATTTCATATCCAAATCGATATTGTTTTATTAATAATTATTTAATTATTTAATAATTATTTAATTATTTAATAATTATTTATAATAATTATTATTTCTCAAATAAATATTAATTTTAATAGAAAATTTAAAAAATAGAAATTTTTTTTCAATTTTACTTACCTGAAATTCGAAATAAACTTGACTATCCAAACACTGATAAAAAAAACTCACCAATTAAAAATATTTAAAACACGTTTCAAATTAAATTAAAAAAAAAAATATTTAATCGAAAATACCAATTTGGAAAATTCGATAAATTCGAAAATTTTCAGGTTAAGTTAAATCCCCCAAGGAAATTCAAAATAAACACAAATTTTGTGTATACGTGTGTGTGTGTAATGGCCTTTAAACCAGGAGCGTAACAAGGAATAAAAAAACCACCGTTCTTTTCGGAGAACAGGCCCATGTTACGCTCCTGAAAAAACATAGTGGACAATACAGCACTGTCCACCAATCAGAATTCGAATCATAAAACCGTCTTCAATTCTAATTGGTCTGAACAAATAAATTTTCATCCCAATGAAAATGCACCTTAATCAAAAATTTCAATGAAAAATTTCATTACACATTTTTTATAACCAAATCTCGTGACAAACAAATTACAACACACATTGACATTTTTCAAGTGCATGTTATTAGTATTAAAAAAAAAAAAATCTTCTCAAAGGGAAAAACATTAAATTTGTTTAAAAAAAAACAAAAATGTTTTTTTTATTTCTCATTCGTTTATTTTGACAGTTCCATAAAGTACAAAAAGATAAAAAGGGCCAAAAAAAGTAAGTTATAACAAATAATTAGAAAAAATCTATCAAAAAACGTGATAATTTTTACCAAAATTGAGGGAAAGGGATAACATTTAAAAATTATAAACAATTTAAAAATTATTTACTAAAAAAAATATTTCTTTTGTTCAATTCTTATCAATTGATGACACACAATATATTTAGAGATTTTATCTAAAAATTTATCAATTTTTTGGAAATGACGTTTTCTAATTGTTCTTGTAGAGAAAAGAAAATTTGTTTCAAAAAAAAAAATTTACATTTATAAACAAAAAAGACTTGAGAATTGTGTGTATAAAATATATATGTAAGTAAAGTGCATATAATCATATATCTTTTAAACAAACAAATGTGTACAATTCAGCAAATATTTATGCCAAAATTTTTCATGCAACATTGCCGACAAAGACTTTGGTTTCATATATAAAATTCCTAACAACTTCATATGAACTAGTTCATTTTATTAGGAAAATAAAACAATGTCTTTGAATTTATTGTTATAAAAGGAAATTATTATTTTTTAAAAAAATTGTTATTTATATTTTTGAATAAAATTTTTCATCTACATTTTTCGTTTTTATTATTTTCTTATTATTAATTAATAAAAAAAACTTTAATATTAATTATTAATAATAAAATAATAAATACAAAATATGTAGAATAAAAATTTTATTTAAAAAATAAATAACAATTCAAAAATAAATTATTTTAATTTTTTCAAAAGAATATAAATAATATAATATTATTTATTTTCTAAATAACTATTTTTATTTTATAATTTTTGTTTTTATATCTTATTAAATTAATTAATTAATTTAATAAAATTATTATTTAATGAATAATAATAATTCTGTTACAGTTTCGATTAATTAGTATTTAAAAAGACAAGCAAAAATGAAGTTTGCAGAACATCTTTCTGCTCATATAACTCCTGAATGGCGAAAGCAGTACATCAGCTATGAGGTATATTTAAATAATTTGAAAAAAAAATTTAATTAATAAAACATTTTTTTAATTAAAAAATTTTTTTAAAATTAAATTTTTAATAAAAAATTTATTTGCGAAATTAATTTTTCATATTTTTTTGTTCGCGCAGGAAATGAAAGCAATGCTTTACAGGGTAGTGGAAGAAGCACCTTCTTCAGAAACAACAGAACCGGAAGTGATATCCAGACATTTTGCAACATTCGATGAAACATTTTTCACGTTTTGTGATCAGGAGTTAAAAAAAATAAACACCTTTTACTCTGGTGAGTTTTGTCAGTTAAAAAAAGAATTAACTAAACATCTAATTAATTAGGAAAAAGACTAATTTTTAAATAACTAATTTTTTAGCTAATTATTTAAATAATTAATTAGTCATATAAATAAATAATTAGTTAATGTCCAAGTAAGGCAATTAATTAAATAAATTACTAATTAAATAATTAAATTACTAATTAAATAATTAAATTAATAAATAAATTATCGTGTTAATCAAGAGTAAATTAACAAAATAATTATCCAATAAATTAATTATGTAATTAATCTATCAAAATGCTAATTAATTTTTTATTTAATTAAAAAATGGACCTATAATTTATTAATTAATTAAAATAACTAATTTACTAACAAGTTTCTTCAGTTAATAATTTAGTAACAAATTATTTAAATAATTTAGTAACAAAATATTTAAATAATTTAGCAACAAATTCAAATAATTTAGCAACAATTTCAAATAATTTATCAACAAATTCAAATAATTTGGTAACAAATTATAAAAAATAATTTAGTAAAAATTTATTCAAATAATTAGCTAACTAAATATTTAACTAATTAATTAACGAAAAATAATTAATTAGTAATTGAATAATTAATAATAAACTTTTTATCCGCCAAAAATTTTTCCTTTTTTTTCTTAAATCAATTGATGGCAAAAAAAAAAATTAATTATTTTATTTAATTTTGTATAGAGAAGTTGGCGGAGGCGACACGAAAATATGCAGCGTTACAGAGCGAATTAAAAAGTGCATTGGATGCACATCAAGGTGGTGGAAAAAATAAAGGAAAAACCAATCAGAAACCCCATTTGACAACAAGAAAAATACGAGAATTAAAACTTGCCTTCTCTGAATTTTATCTATCTCTCATTCTATTGCAAAATTATCAAAATCTAAATTACACTGGATTTCGAAAAATCCTCAAAAAACATGACAAGGTAATTTTACTATGCAATTTTTAAAATAATTAATTAATTTTAATTATTATTGTTTTTTTCTAAATAAAAAAAATTAATTTTTGGAAACATATTTTTTTTCCTTATATGTAACAAAAAAAAAAAAAAATTCGTATTTTTTAAGCTTCTATCTGTGGACACTGGATCGAAATGGAGGGAGGAATGCGTTGAAGTTGCACATTTTCACACATCAAAAGATATTGATAAATTAATTCAAGATACAGAAACATCGGTAACAAATGGACTTGAGGGTGGCGATCGTCAACGAGCTATGAAAAGACTTCGTGTACCACCACTTGGCGAACATCAAAGTCCATGGACCACATTTAAAGTTGGATTATTCTCCGGCAGTTTTATTGTTCTTTTTGTCACCGTTATTCTATCAGGTTAATTTCACAATTTTTAACAATTATTATTATTATTATCATGGAAAAAAATTAATTTTTTGATATTTAATTTGCAAAAAACATCTTTTTTCATTATTTTCTTTATTTATATTTAATATTATTATTATCATTTTTAAATTAATTTTAAAATTGTAATAATATTATTGTAAATAACAATTAATAATTAATAAATAATAATAATAATAATTGTAATATTACAATTTTTATTATTACTTTTTTTATTTTTATTATTATTATTATTATTATTATTATTATTATTATTATTGTTTTTTTTATTATTTACTAATTTTTTTTCTTTACTTTCCCTTGCAGTAATTTTTAATTCCTTGGTTTTTTTTTAATATTTTTTTTTATTATTAAATTCCACTTTTTGTGTTTTGTTTCTATTATCATATTTTCTGGTGATTTTATAATTTCGAATTCTTCTTTTTTTCTCTGTTAACAGCAATTTTTCACGATGGTGGGGAAAATTTGAAAGTTGCTTTTCTCTTGTATCGTGGACCATTACTTATTGTTCAATTTTTATTTTTAATTGGAATAAATGTTTATGGTTGGAGATCGTCAGGTGTAAATCATGTATTAATATTTGAATTGGATCCAAGAAATCATCTCTCTGAACAACATCTCATGGAATTGGCTGCTGTTTTAGGTGTTGTTTGGGCATTAAGTATATTAAGTTTTTTGTACAGTGCAAGTTTAAGTATTCCACCTTATGTCAATCCACTTGCACTTGTTATAATAATGGTTGGATTTCTCATTAATCCATTGAGAATGTTTCGACACGAGGCACGATTTTGGCTAATGCGAATTATGGTAAGAGCAAAAAAAAAAAAAAGATTTTCCTAAATTTATTCTTATTTTAATTAATTTATTAAATAAACTATTATAATTAATTTATTATTATTTTAATTTATTTTTACAAAAAAAAAAATTAAATCAAAAAAATTTGATATTTATTTTAAATAATTAAAAGTAATTTATTGAAAAGATTGAAATTAATTTTTTCGTTGATGAAAAAATTAAAAAAAAAAAAATGGAAATAAAGAAATTGAAATGAATTAATTTTGAAAAAAAAATTGACTTTTTTTTCGTTTCAGTGGCGAGTATTAATGGCACCTTTGGTATTTGTAAATTTTGCCGATTTCTGGTTGGCCGATCAACTTAATAGTCTTGTCACAGCATTTTTGGACTTTCAATTTTTGCTCTGCTTTTATATAACTAATGGAAATAATTGGCTCGAAGCTGGCCGAACAGATCAATGTACATCTGGCTCTCTCATTATTAGACCATTGGTCAATTGTTTACCCGCATGGTTTCGTTTTGCCCAATGTATAAGACGTTATCGTGACTCGAAAGAAGCATTTCCCCATCTTTGGAATGCTGGAAAATATTCGACAACATTTCTTGTTGTCATTGCAACGTCACTACGTTTTTATCATAAAGGTAAATTATTTATAATAATATTTTTAATTATTTATTAATTTAATTCTAAATTATTAGAAACCAAAAATTTATTATTTTATTATTATATTAATTTTTTTAAATTAAAATTTATTATTTTATTAATTTTTTATTTAATATTTAATTTTGTTATTTTATTTTTATTTGTTATTTAATTATTCGGTATTTATTTTTTAATTATTTTTATTTTATTTTATATATTATTTATTTATGAAAAAATAATTGTAGATAAAACAATAATTGATACTATAAATAAATTTTATTCCTAATGCAGTTGATAATGAAAATCAATGGGAAAGTCCGTGGTTTTGGTTTTGGCTTGGAAGTTGTCTTTTTAATTCCATTTATTCATTAACGTGGGACTTAAAAATGGATTGGGGCCTTCTCGACAGTAATGCTGGTGAAAATAAATTTCTACGAGAGGAAGTTGTTTATTCATCTTATGTAAGTACATCACTTCAAAAAAAATTAAAAATTAAATTAAAAAAAAAAAAACTAAAAAATATAAAAAAAAATAACGAAAAAAATAATTATATACACGATAAACTGTATTAAAATTTGTAAATCGTTAAAAATTATTTTCAGGGCTTTTATTATTTTGCCATGATAGAAGATAGCATAATTCGATTTTCATGGGTTGCAACATTCATTCTTCACGATTATTTTTCCGTTTCAAATGATTTATTAATGTCAATAGTCTCGACACTTGAAGTCTTCAGGTAAGATTTTTTATTTAATTTTTTTTAATAAACAAATTAATTAAAATATCAGAAAATAATTATTATCGTAATTATTTAAAAAAAATAACTAATATATAATTTAAAAAAATTTATTAACGAAAAATAATAAATGAAACGAAAAATAATTTAATAATTAAATAAATAAATTTAATAAGTTTAACAATTGCATTATTTGAAAGTAAATTAAAAAAAAATTAAATTTTTTAAAATTAAATTTAAAAAAAAATCGTTAGTCAAATTTTTTTTATTAATTAAAAAGAAATTAATTTTTTTCAAAAATTTGTTTTTCATTTACCAGGCGTTTTATTTGGAATTTTTTCCGATTGGAGAACGAGCATTTGAACAATTGCGGTAAGTTTCGTGCTGTACGTGATATTTCAATAGCGCCAATAGAAAGTTCCGATCAAACGCAAATATTGCGCATGATGGATGAGGAAAATGGTGTTATTAATCGAGGTAAACGTAAAAATATCGGTAACAAAAAAACCAATCAAAAAGAAGACAAACGATTATTACTTAAAGACGAAAATATTGACATGAATGCATCGACTGTGAGTTGAGAGAACAAAAAAAAAAAATCACAAATTATTATTGTTAATATATATTAAGCACTAGTTAAACAAATTTTTTTTACCACTTGCCTTATTGTTCTTTTTTTTTGTCCGCTCAACTATCACAGTTTATTTTTTAATTAGGGGGAAAAAAAATTCAAAAAAAAAATATATATATATTACAAGTGCCTTTTGTAGCGTTTACTTGTTGAAATTACTATTTTTTATTATTGCTCGTTGCATTTTGTTATGTAAAAGAGAGAATAAATGTGAGAAAGAAAGAAAGAAAGAGAGTGAGAAAATTGTAAAAATTCGTGTTTGTTAAATAATTTTTGGCCAAAGGAAGAAAAAAGAGAATTTAACAAAATTTGTTCTTTTATTTTCAATTTTTACTATTCGATAATTTATTATTTTAAACGAATTATTAATAAAGTATGAAAATTAAAATGATTCAATTTAAAAAATTCTAAAAGAAACTGAAAAAAACTCGAAGCCATAATAAATTTATAAAAAAATTAATAAAAATAATTTAAAAAGTAAATAATAAAATATTAAATTTTTAAAAAATATTAGAAATTTTTCAAAAATTCAATTGGCCAACAGTAATTGTGATTTTTTTAAAAGAAAAAAAAAATTAAATCAGCATGAGTGAGAGAAAATCGTTATAATTCTATAGTTATAATATTAGTGATAAAAATATATATATTTCGTGATTTTTCTTGTCCCTTGTCTTCATCGACTTTGCAATCCCATTAAAATTGAAAAATTCTAACAAAACATTCCAAAATAGACATTTTTTTATTTTGACTTTGATGTCAATTAAATGATAATTAAAAATATTTTTTTTTGACAAATCGAAAATTTTTTACTTGAAAATAAAAAATTTCTTTTTATAAATTATAGATTATTTAAATAAAAATTCATTTTCAAGAAATAAATTTTACAAAGGTGTATTTTCACAAAAGTACACAGATTTACATTTAAGATTATCATTGTGTTTACTTTCAATTTATTTTAATTCTTCATTTTAAAGTGTAACGTGCTTAAAGTACAAACTCGTGACTTAATTTTGGCCTTATACTTATTTAGAAAAATACAATTTTTTGTAGAATTTTGTCTTAGTTTAGTTTTGAAAATTATAATAATAATAAAAAAACATTGCAAATAATTTTATGCATTATTTTTTATTATAATAATAATAAAAAATATTAAAAACAATTTTTTGCAATATTTTTTTATTATAATAATTAAAAAAATATACATTGCAAATAATTTTTAGTAAAATATTTAGAAAATTAAAAAAAATAATATAAAATACAAAAATTTATTTAAATTTAAAAAAAAAATTGCGTGCCAAGAAATGGGATTGTCTTTGTCAAAAGACTAAAAATATAAGTATTATATTTTTAGATTTATCACATTTTCCATTGTTGCAGTAAATTTTTTCGACTTTTATCGAAAAAAAACTAGTAAATTATAATTTTCAATTGACTGAAAAAAGTTGTGAAAAACTTTACTGTACACCAAAAAAAAGCCATATCGATGCTCTTAATATTAAAAAAAGGCCAGTTGAAATTTTCAACAAAAAAAAAAAATATTCTAAAATTAACAATAATTGTTTTTTTAATTTTAAGAATATTTGTTTCATTGAGGAAAATAACAAATGGTTATTAAAACATCAATTTGTAGATTGTGATTATTTACTAAGTTTATTAATATTTCTTTAGTTCAATTTTTAAGTCGTTTTAATTATTAATTAAAGTAGTGATATCAAGAAAAAAAAGTGATAGTTTTATACCTCTAAGTATCTCGTTTCTTTTCAATATTGTAAACGAAAAAAATATAAAATAATAAATAAATAAAAAAAATTTATTAAATAAAAATCTCACAATTGCAAATTTTTATTCTAAAAAAAAATAAAATAAAAAGGATTTTACATGACATTAAAAAATGATTCAATTTAATTATTTTAATATAAAAATTTGTAATATGCAAAAAATAAATTAATAAACAATTATATAAATAACTGGCAACAAATAAACTTCAAATTGAATCAATTAATTTAGAAAATATTTGTTCAAAAATGCAATTAAAAAAAATAGCACAAAAAATGTACGTATCAGTACTTATTTTAATTTTTATGTACATATATTTTTTATTTTCCTCCAATTTGTATAAGAATTAAAGATATACTTTTTCACATTTAGTGTGTAAATTGTAAGAAAAATAATCCTACTTTGTAAATAAAAAAAAAATGCGATACGACGAATTTAATTCTTAGTTTTAATTTTATAAAAATAAAAATGTATTTTTTGAAAAATCCTTATGTAAGCCATTATTAGTTACATATTTAGTATCCACAAGTTTAATAAAAAAAAATCTGTTGTAAATTTTGGTACATTTATCTAGAATAAAATAAATCCCATTAAAAAGATGTTTTTTTTATTTATTATTATTTAAATGTATTACTTAATTAATTAAATATTTCAATTATTTCTACTTGAATTTTTTTTAATTGAAATTTTTTCTTTAATTAATTAACAATTTTCATTGATTAATTATAAAAAATGATTTTTTTAATAATTATTTATTGATTTCAATTTAACCATTTTTTTTAAAAATACTATTTATTTAATTAATTGAAATTAATTTTATACGCACTGGAAAATTATCAATTTTCAAAATTATTTTTCATCAAATAACAATTTGTATCTACAAATTTGCCAACGTATATATCAGTGAGATAAAAAATTTTTTTTTCAAGTTATATGTAATATCAATTAAATTGGAAAATATTTTCCAGCTGGGTTTAAAAAATTGGAATGTTATCGACAAGCTATAAAGTTGCGTAAATCTACATGGTAATTTTGAACAGAAGGCGATCGATCGATTGAGTGCAACAGTATTGAATTGGCATTCGTGCATGAAGAAATCTATTTTTGGTGGAATCCCACTTACGGAATCAAAAATGCCATTTTTTTCTCTCTTTATAATCAAACTAGTGTTATTCCTATATAAAATATTTCCAATTAAAAAATAAAAATAATTCATTGACTTTAAATACAGAAAAAAAAGAAAAATAATTTCTCGATTAATTTTATAACTTTCTTTTTTTATGAAACAAAAATTTATATATTTATTAATTAATAATTAATTTATTGAAAAATTATTTTAATAATAAAAACCAAATAATTTTAGTTTTTGAAAAAATAATTAATTTCAAAAGGAGCAAAAATTTTTTTTGGAACATAAAATTTCAGACAGTTTAATTTTTTTTTAATTATGAAAAATCTTGGGCTTTTTTTGATGTTAAAATAATGAGAACGACTTTTTATAATCTGAAACGATTTTTTTACTATGATTTTCATAGTTTTAAATTAAAAAAAAAGAAAAAAAATAGGGAAAGGAAATGAAACTGTGATCTACTTTGTAAATACGATCCTACGTTCCAATTCTATGCGAAAAAAATGTTCTTTGAACTTTAATCAGATCTCTGAAGTAGAAAGTCATCAGTTTTATCTAAGCTTAAGCAAGTTGTTGTTAATGAGGCTTTTCCGTTTTTATCGAAAATTCTATCAAACTTTGAATAAAAAATAATAAAAAAAAAAAAAAAATTCTACAAAAACATTTTAATCTCTGTGAAATAAAATCTTTTTTTTCAAATTAACCAATTTCATCAAAAATATTTTAAATTTAAAATTTAAAAAAATTGTTTCTATTAATTAAAAAAAATTTGTTCATTATTAAAATTTGATCAAAAATTTTATTTTTATTTTATATAAAAAAAAAAATACTAAAACTAAAAATGTCTAGTTTTTAAAATTTACTAAATAATTTCACAATAAATTAATTTTTAATTAATAAATAAATTCAATTTAAAAATACAAGAAAAAAAAAAAATTAGCATTTGATTCTAAAAGTATACGAGATTCGTCTCTTGTCGAGGTCAAACTGACCCCCAATCGATTTTTCAAACTGACTTTACTATCAACTTATATACATGCGAACAGGTAAAATAACTTTAAACTTTTGTAAGTGAAGGAGTCTTGCCAACGTGATTGAAAGCTTCCAAAAGAGCGAGAGAGAAAAAAATATATAGGAAGAGAAAAATTTCATCGCTTGCCATTTCCTGCAATATGTGAAAATTTTATACCATTCTGAAAGAGTTTTGTAAATACAAATTTCCATTTTCAATTTATGAGAGTTCTTTCTCATAGAAACTTCAGTGACTATTGAAATTGAAAAAAACCATTAGAAGAAGTTAAAAGAAATAAGTATAAATTTGTCTCACTAAAAATGACATTTTCTACTTCCTGTATACATATATAACTATATACATTCGAACGCACTGACGTAAAACAAATTTTTTTTCTATTTTCAATTTTAATATCAAATAAAAAAAAATTATCTGAAAAAAACATATTATTATAGTTTGTTTTTAATTAATAATTTAAAATTAATTAATTTTTTAAATTTATAACTTTAATAATTATTATGTAATAATTATGTAAGTAGATAATTATTTTAATAATTACATAGATGGTTAAAAAATTTACCAAGGTAAAAAAATTTGAAAAATAAAAATATAAAAAAATTACCGACCTAGAAATCTACCTTCCCGACTGATGGTAAAAATTTAAATAAAAATAAAAATAAAAATTACCGACACAGAAACCTACATTGCCGACTGATAGTAATTTTTTAAAACTGAAAATATAAATAATTACCGATCTAGAAATCTACCTTACCGACTGATGCTAAAACAGTTTATCCAAAAATAAAAATATAAAAATTACCCACACAGAAACCTACATTGCTGACTGATGGTAATTTTTTAACACTGAAAATATAAATAATTACCGATCTAGAAATCTACTTTACCGACTGATGATAAAAAAGTTTTTCCAAAAATGAAAATATAAAATTTACCGGCACATAAAGCTGCATTACCGACTGATGGTAATTTTGTAAAAAATGAAAATATTAAAAAAATTACCTATCTAGAAATTTAGCTTACCGACTGATGGTAAAACAGTTTTTCGAAAAATAAAAATATAAAAATTACCGGTACAGAAATCTGCATTACCGACTGATGGTAAGACAGTTTTGGGAAATTAGGAGACAACTGTTTTACCATCAGTCGGTAAGGTAGATTCCTATGTCGGTAATTTTGTCTTCATTTTTCAAAAAAAAACTGTTTTACCATCAGTCGGTAAGATAGGTTTCAATGTCGGTATTTTATATTGTTATTTTTCGAAAAACTGTTTTACCATCAGTCGGTAAGGTAGATTTCTGTGTCGGAATTTTTTTTATATACAAATAATAATTACGTAAAAACTATTAAAATAATAGTAAAACCAAATTATTAAATTTTGTTTAATGACAATTAAAAACAAATATTGAAACTACTAAAATTACTTTTCCTTGATTATTATTCATTATCTATAAATTAAAAAAAAAAACTAACAAACTTGAAAGAAAGAATAGAATCTCATACAATGTTTAATAGTTTCAAATACTGTTTTTTTGTTCTATTTGATCGACCTGATTAAAACGAATCGAATTGATTTTCTTTTTAACGAGAAAAATCGAAGCTTTCTATAATTGAATAGAAAAAAAAAATTGCAACATGCATATTGACCAGAATTTCACCTATCATAACCCAACAAGAATATTGTACATTATTTTGCCTTTTTAATTTTATTTCTTCTTTCTTTTTTTTTGCATTTGTTAAAATAATTAATTTTTTCTCAATCAACTTTTTTAATTAACACACATAATTTCTTAATTCATTGAGAGAGCAAAAAAAAAAAAAAAACCAACTGAAAATCACTATAAAGTAAAAAAAAATTTAAATAATAGTTTTAAACTTATTCGAGCGAAAATTTCAATTACTGAATTTAATAACTCAAACAAAAGTGAATTAATTAATGTTCTTTTTTTCTTTCAAATTTAACAATTTTTTCTTTTGGTAATTTATAAATAATGATTAATTTTTTTCTTTTTATTTCTAAAATCGATGTTTTAGTTTTATTAATGTTTTGTAAAAAAAAAAAAATAATTCTCTATTAACTCAAAAAAATTTGTTAAGTTTTTAAAAAAAGTGTGTTTCTTTAAAATATATTTTACCGATCACTAGAGTAAAATTTAATTAAATAACAATTATCTAACTGAATTATGTTATTTAATTTTCGTCATTATTATACTTCTTGCTCCAAGCAGGGTTCGTGCATTATATATTAATTAGTAAAATATTAATTAATTGATAAATTAAAGTATTATTTCATGTTAGTATGATGATAATATTAATATAAATAAAATAATAAAAATAATAATAATAAAGAATAAAAAAATAATAAATAATTGTCAATCAATTATTTAATATCTTAGGTAATTAATAAAATTAGAATCATTAAACGTTCGCATGAAAGATAATTTTGTTTAGAATCAGAACGCGATAACTGTGTCGTCATACATGTGTGGAATCAAGCCCTGACCTAGACTCTGCAAATTGATTTGAGATCTCGCGTAAAACAACCCTTTTATCCGCGTTGCGACGAAGTCAAAGATGTACTCAGTAACAGCTGCATTATCGAAGTTTCCGCATCATCTCATTCTACCCACCCCCTCTTTCTCTCTCTCTCTCTCTCTCCCTCTCTTTTTTTTTATTCCCGAGCAGAAAAATATTTTTAGTTTAAACTGCTAAATTGGAAAAAATTTTTTTATATATATTCAAATGATATTAATAGAACATTGCAATTTAACGAATACAAAATATTCTAATTTAATTAAAAACAATTATTGTCAAATTTTACATGAAGTAATATTTAATATCATTATTTTAGAACAGGAGGAAAAAAGAGTAGAATTTTGTGGGATATGAAAATAAACTCCAAAAATGAGTAATTTTCTGCAAAATTTGTAGAATAATTTTTTTTTTTTTGGAGTAAAAAACCATAAAAACTTTTTTTTAACACTTATTTAAAGTTCTTGAATTTTTTCTTCAAAGATTTATCACAAAAATAATTGATTCGCATAATGCAAGTAAAATTATAGTAAATCATTTCGAAATCAGTGAATTTTGCAAATAAATCAATTTCAAATATTAAAATAATCCATTTTACTAAAAGCAATATCGTTTCAAATTCTCTCCAAATTTCAACCATCATTTCACAGATTTCATATCATTATATATTATATATATAGCAAAAACGACATTTGACTATATATATTAAATAAGTGAAATTCAAAATCAACATAATTAATTATTAAATGTTCAAAATTAATTTTGTATATTATATTATATAATATTTACTATTAATTTTATTCTTAATTAGAATTTTCATTTTTCGAATTAGCATTTGATAGAATTTCTTTTTATACGAATTTTTACTTAATAAAATTTTTAGCTACCGAATTTTTGTTTGGTAGAATTTTTATTTTACAGTTATTTAATTTACATGATTTTTTATTTAAAAGAATTTTAATTTGTCCCAATTCTTGTTTGTTGAAATTCTTATTTGTCCGAATTTTAATTTGTCTAATTTTTTCTTTGTTCTAATTGATAGAATTTTTATAGAATTTTAAATATTCATTTGTCCGAAATTACAAATGCGACCGAACAAAAATCGACAGAAAGATTTCGGCACAAATTTTTTCTATCGGATTTTTGTTCGATCATTTATCATTTCGGACAAATTAAAATTCGACGTCTTAAAAATTCTATCAATAAAAAATTCGCACAAATAAAAATTCGGACAAATACAAAGTTGGATAAATAAAAGTTCGGACAAATTCGATTTAATTAAAATTCTTCAAAATAAAAAATTATTTAAATTAAATGATTGTAAAATAAAAATTCAGTAGCTAAAAGTTTTGTTAAGTGAAAAATTCGTATAAAAAGAAATTCTATCAAATATGTTAATTCGAATAATAAAAATTCGTCTAAAAAAGAATTATTTCTAATAAAAAATACTTAATAAAAAAAAAATTTTTAATTAATAATTTTTATGGAGAAATTCATGCTCCCCGTATATCCCTAAAATAATGTTCTTAGGACATCCTATAATTTCCCCGAAACTAAATGATATCCCTACAATGTCTATTGAATATCCTGAATATTCGGATGCTGTATGGGAATTAATCCTTCAATGAAAATACAGTGACCATTTCCTACTTTCTCCAACTATCACCGGAAGTTAAAATTCAACTACTGCATTGAATTTACACCCAGAGAAATGATACATTTGTCCTAGAGTCAAATAAATATTTGTTGCAAATAAAAATTTTAATTGTTTCAAATAAATTTTTACTTGTTTCAAAATAAATACACAGAAAATTAAAAGGCATTAAAATAAGCTGCAACGCTTATTATTTTAATTCAATTTTGCTTATTTTAATACATTTTGATATTAAAATAAGCAAAATTAGATTAAAATAATAAGCGCGTTGCAGCTTTTTTTAATGCCTTTTAATTTTCTCTGTATTTACTTTTTGCAAATAAATATTTATTTGTTGCAAATAAATATTTCGTTGTTACAAATAAATTTTAATTTGATTGAAAAAAAAATTTTACTTATGACAAAATTTTTATTTACGCCAAATAGACTTAGACAAATATATATATTTATTTAACTCAAATATATTATATATTTGCTTCAAATAAAAAAATTTTAAAGTATAAAATTCAGTTTCAAAAAAAAAAAAAAAAACGAAAAAAAAGAAGCTCCAAAAACAATTTTCTCGAGAAAATTTTGAAAGCGTCCCCGTAACCCTGATGTCAGCTCCAGGTGTATCTCGCTATCATCATCATCACGAAAATTTCGCGAGCATCAGCAATCACGATGATGAGGCGCGTGCGTCTGTAACGGCACACGTTCGCCTCCTAGAGTGAGGATGCAGCGACATCAAAACCAAAAAACGAGGATGGTGGGGGGGGGGGTTTGGTATATACGGTTGAAAGAGGTATAAGCGGGATCAGAGGGGAGGATTTCAAAGGGAGCAATATCAGGTGGAAGGGTCCATAAGAAAGAGTGAGAGACAATTCAACTAGAAATCTATGAGAGTGAAACAAAGAGAGAATACATACTCTCCTTTTCTCTCTTGTGAATTGAAGTGAAAAAGAGACAGACAGAGTGAGAGAGAGAGAGAGAGGGATGAAAGAGAGGCGGTGGCAGTAGCGGCTGGCTATTGATTTCAAGGGCTTCCTTAGCCCCCTACCCCCGCCTTGCTGCGGTGTGCCTGTCGGCTTCAGGTCACCCCCTAGGGTTCCCAGTACCCCTCTATAATACAATTTTTTTTTTACCCCCTATTAATAATTTTTTTTCTACCCTTTTTTTTTTTCTTTTTTGGGAAAATTTTCATATTCTGAGAATTCTACTTTAATTAAAGTGCAAAGTAGGGGTAAAAAAAAATGTACCCCTTGCGGAAAAGTTTTGCGACCCGATTTTAAGGTCATATGTACCAGAAATATCTAGGTGGGTTACGGTACTGCGCGACTCAGCCCGAGCGGGGTGAACCGTCGCCGCTTGCGATACGTCGAACTGGCTCCCCCTGTTGGGGCGTCTCCTACCCCATATAAGTCTCGACCCGTTGAGAGAGGGACAAAAACGATCGAGCGAGAGAAAGAGAGAGAGAGAAGAGAGAGAAAAACAGAGAGAGAGGAGAGAGAGAGAGAGAAAAAGAGAAAAGGGAGTAAGAGAGCGAAAAACCCCCCTCGAGAGAGAGAGGGACAGAGTAAAACCGAGAGAGAGAAAGAGAGAGAGAGAGAGAGACCACCGCCTTTAGCTTCGATTTGACCATCGCAAAGAGAGACTGTGCGTGTGCAACAATCCGGTGCCTCTGTTCATCGTCGTCGTCATCATCGTCAGTCGTGGTGAACGTGTGCGAAAAAAAAAATAATAATAATAATAATCGACGATGTCCAATGTCAATATCTCGGGTGCCTATTCGCGAGTTATTATTATGTGATATAACACTATTTACTATACAACGCCCAGTGTGTCCTGCCGCAGAGGGAATAGAAAGAGAGAGAGAAAGAACCCTCCAAGATATAATGTCACCTAGACACGGATTCTACATCCCTCAAAATCATCATCATCATCACCATCAATATGATTCCCTCTGTCAAAATTCATTTTTACGACAATGACAACATTTTTTTTCTCTCAAAACACTGCCAGTTTTCTTGATATAATACCAATAAGCTGCCTAAAAACCACTATTGCCGGTGAGTGCATCTGTACTTAACAAATATATATATCTATATAACCCCCGGGGATTTACACCTATATATAGCGAAATTTTTTTTTTTAAAGAAATCAAATTTTTTTTTTTTTTTTTTTTTTAAATAAAATAAGAAAAAGAAAATTTTGAAAAAAATTAAGAATTTATGTATATATTATAGTATACGCAAGTTTAGGGTAAAATTTTCTAAAGTATGTCAGGCGGAGAATTTCATCCCTTATTTGGTTCAATGTCTTTAGGATTTTCATATGTGGCTAAAAATTTAAAAAAAATATATATAGTGAAAAAAAATTAATTTGATTCAAATAATCAGAAATAGAGAAATATTTTATTGGCGATTATTTGAGATAAATGAATTTTTTAATTGAAGGGAATAAAAATATATTTGGCATTAATAAAATTTTATTTAGCGTAATTATAATTTTTATTTAACTCAAATAAAATTTATTTGGCTCTAAGAGAAATATATCTTTCTCCGAATCTATATCAAATAAACATTTATTTGATTCAAGTAATCGGTTATTTTACTATTATCAAATATATTTATTTATTTGATTCAAAAAATCAGTTACTTGACTATTATCAAATAAATATTTATTTAATTCAAACAATCGTTTACTTGACTATTATTAAATAAATATTTATTTCATTCAAATATAATCAATTACTTGACTATTATCAAATAAATATTTATTTGTATCGACTAAATATTTATTTGTATTAAATAAACACTTATTTGTGTCAAATAAACGGCATTTGTTTCAAATACAGAAATTATTGATTCAAATAAAGTTTATTTAATTCAAATAAAAATTAGTTGCTTTCAAATAAATAATTATTTGATAATAGTCAAGTAACCGATTATTTGGATCAAATAAATTTCTTTTTTCAGTGTATGGAAAAATTTATTTACGATAATATTATAAAATAAACGGGACTGAAAATATATGAAAAAATAGTGTATATGTGTTAAAATGGTAGTAAAAAAAAAAAATATATATATATATGTAATGGTACTAAAAATACAGAATGTACTTTTTGTATATATATATATATATATATATAAAAGTATATATAAAAAGTATAACTAAAAATCGCATTCAGAAAGTAACATAAAAAAGGAATCAAAAATTTATTAAATAAATCTATGTATATAAAAAAGGAAATACAAGAAATAAAAATGAAAATAACACAATTAGGTATATAACTTAATAAAATTAAAATTATATTTTAAAATTATATAAAAATTATATAAATATTATATAAAAATTATATAAATATTATATAAAAATTATATAAAAATTATATAAAAATTATATAAAAATTACATGAAAATTATATTATAAAATTTCCTGACATTTCATTAAAAAATTTTCAAATTTATTTGGATTATTTAATAAAAACAAATAAATATTTTTATTAAATATTTCTTTAAACCAAATAAATTTTTGTTTAAATTAAAAATAATAATTTTCTTAATCTGAAAAAAAATTTATTTAATACAAATAATCCTTTATTAGACTATTATCAAATAAATATATATTTACTCGAAGCAAATAATTATTTGATTATAGACAACTAATAGATTATTTGAATTAGTAAAATCTTTTTTCCTCTTATTATTATAATTATTTTAATTTCAATGATTTACAAAATGGCATTCCCTTACTAGAAGTTGGAAAGTATCGTATGCAACACGTGATAAAATAATGATTTCATTCGAGTACGAAAATAATTTGAAATCATTCAAAACCGAAAAAAATGTCTATATAGGTACTCAGTCAAAGAAAAATTAATTTTATTAAACGGAAAATTTCTTTGAATCAATGAAAGTCCTTTTGAATCACAGATTTTTTTTTCAATAAAAATAAAAAAATATTTCTTTGATACACAAAAGTTTTCATTGATTCGAAGATATTTTTGTATTTAAAAAAAGGAATTTTTTTAATTAAAGAAAATTTTCCTTAAATCAGACAACAAATTTTTATAATTATTATTATTATCATTATTATTATTATTTTGTTAAATCAAAAATTTTTTTCCTTATACGCAATAAATACATAAATAAACAATGTAATTAAAAAAAAAAATTAATAAAAATATGAAATAAACCAATAAAAAAACAAAAAAGGAATAATAAAATTAAAATAAATCAATCAAAAACAAAATTAATAAAAATATAAAATAATATTAAATAACAAATTTTGACATTAATTATAAGGTATATTTTTAAAATGAAAAAAATCTCACAATTTTTTTTATTAGATCATAAAAATATTTTATAGCATGATAAATCATTTAATTGACATTAGTTTGATTTATCTTATTTTTTTAAATTAATAATGTTTTTTCATCATCAATAAAATATTATTAATTGCTTTTTATATATTAATTTTGAAAACTTTATAAATACAATTTATAATTTAGTAATGCATTTAAATGCAATAATAATAATATAATAATAATTAATAATTTATTACTGATTACTGAAACATATATGTATAAGTTATTAGTTAATGGTTACCAATAATAACTTATTAGTGGTTTACCAATAATTTATCACTAATTACCGATAACTTATTAGTGGTGTTCAATAATTGAGCGAACACCAATAAAACTCATTATAAACTTTAATTATTATAATGAATGAATGAAAATGTTATCGAATGAAAATTTTGTTAAATCCAAATTTGTTCAATTACAAATTTACTCAAATAAAAATTCTTTCAAAACAGAAAATTCCGTCAAATAAAAATTATATGTTAGAAGTAATCTAAAATGAAAATTTGATCAATTTAAAATTCGATTTAAGGAAAATTAAAACAAAAGAAAATTCAGTTAAATGAAAATTTGATCAAATTCAAATTCGATATAAGGGAAATTAGATCAAAACTGCAAATTTGGTTAATTCAATAAATTAGTTGAATTAATCAAATTAATTGATTGAATTCGATGTAAGGAAAATTCGAAATGAGAAAAATTCATTGAAAAGAAAATTTCAGCTAAATGAAAATTTGATTAAATTGAAATTCGATGTAGGGAAAATTGAATCAAAATCAAATTTGGTTAAATGAAAATTTGATGTAATGAAAATTAGATCAAAAGCAATAAATGAAAATTCGATGTAAGAGAAATTTGATCAAAAGCAAATTCGGTTGAATGAAAATTTCATCAAATTAAAATTCAATGCAAGGAAAATTGAATCAGTAGCAAATTCGGCTTAATAATAATTTGATCAAATGTAAAAACTGTTAATTACATAATTTGGTTAAATTTGACTGCTTTCAGAAGCAAATTTGGTTAAATGGAAAATTCTATCAAATGAAAATTCTGCCAAATGAAAATTTTGTTAAATTTGACTCCTTTCAGAAGCAAATTTGATTAAATAGAAAATTTTATCAAATGAAAATTCTGCCAAAAGCGCCAAATTCCTCTAAATGCAATTTTGGTTAAATTTGATTTCTTTCAGAAGCAAATTCGATTAAATAGAAAATTTTATCAAATGAAAATTCTGCCAAATGGAAAATTTGATTAAAAGAAAATTCTGTTAAATGTAAATTCAGCCAAACAAAAATCTGGCCAAATGCGAAGAGGAGATAAACGAGATTAACTATAATACGTAATGATGATTTAAAAAACTGGTTGTCCCTTCGAGTATTTTTTTTTTTATTTTTGAATTTTTATTTTTCTAACAAGAGGTGAAAAACCTATAGGCCCAATGTATATGGGTAATTGCAACAGCAACGGCAATGTTAGCATGAATTCATTTGGGAGAAAGAGAGTGAGAGAGAGAGAGAGAGAGAGGAAACATTTGGAAATGGTTCGAGTGTTTAAGGGATACGTGTAACTAGGTCAAAAGTTGTTTCGCATTTGCGTCATCAGTTTACGTCCCGGTGTTTGTAACACATCAGATTTTGCTTCTTAATTGGCTGCCCTCGTTTCACATTTCGTCCACGCTATAAAGGGGGAGGTCAAATCCCACCCCCTCTCGTGGATATACCTTCTCTCCCAATTCTCAATATATATAGAAAAATCTCAACGAATAATGATGAGAAAAAAAAATAAATTGATGAAAAAAAAAATGGTTAAAATCGTTGCTCGCACCGTCTACAATCTCAACCCCTTGACGCAATACTTTTTTCAAACACCCACACATCCCTTTATCGTACAAACTTCCTATATATATATATATGAAAAAAGAAAATTTTGTCGCTATTAAAAGATATTCAATTATTATTATCATCATCTTTGTCTCTTGGGAATTTTTTTTTTTTTCAAGGATTTTATGTATTTATTTCTTGTAAGAAAATCTTTCCTATATATATATTGAGCTTTTACATTTTTTACGTCACGTAATTGAAGAATTTAATATTAACTCGTTGACGTCACAAGTTTAATCCAGTTGAATTAGTTTTACATTTTCATTTTCACAATCACTCCCATGGGATGAATTAAAAATTATATGCTTCAACTTTGCGCACGATAGAATTTGAATGGAAATTTGGTAAAATGAAAAATTTATTAAACAAAAATTATGCCAAATTATTAATTTCATTAAATATTAATAATAATAATAATTTGGCAAAATAAAAATTCTGCTAAATGAGAGCTATACTAAATGATAATTTGGCTAAATAAAAATTCTATTTGGCTAAATTAGAATATTTGACTCAATTAAAGTTCTACAAAATGATAAGGGAAGATTAATATACATTCGATTTAAAAAAATTCTGTTCATTCAAAATCAAAGTTTAGAAAAAATTCATTAAGCAAAAAATTTTGTTAAAGGAAAAACTTTAAATGAAAATTAAATATAAAATTATTTTTTATCCTCGGCTAAATAATGAGAATTCGAATGAAAATTCGGTATAATACAAATTCTATTAAACAGAATTATGGTAAATAATATTAGTTCTAAATATTAGTGCTAAAAATTTGTTCTAAATATTAGTTATATTAGTTCTGAATATTAGTGCTAAATAT